TCTCCGTTTCTTGATTTCTCCAGCCAGGGAGTGGTAGAGTAGTAGCTGCTTCCAATGGCTCCTGCCTGAATGTCATCACCATATCAGTTATTACTTTACATGTAGAGTGCTTTGGGGGTGCTGGTGATTAAACCCAGAATTTCACACATGCTACACAAGTACTCTACCGCAGATCTGTTCTTCTAACGTCATAGATGAGTCCCATATTCAATTGTTTTATTCAGATATTTGCCACGGGAGGCTGGTCTTCGTTAGGTAGCTGGGGATGAGGCAGACGCCAGCAACTTTGAAGAAGACATCTCCCACACCTCATTGAAAAAAAACCACATCAGAGGTTCTCAGTGAAGCCCAACCTCCCCTCGTGCAACCCATTCTTTAGACTGTCAGCAATTCTCAGCTGTCAGATGCCATAGTGAGAGAGACTCTCTGGACAGCTGTGGCGCTTTTTGTGACCCACAGGTTACCACAGCCACCACAGAAAGACATAAGGGACAAATAACTTTTTCAAAATAGTGTACCCTGTACAAGGTATAAGGAGTCTCCTTATGAAAGTTCATGTATATGATGTGCTTTGATTATATTCATCTATTACCCTGTCTTTTCCCACCATCATCGGGGTCCCCTCCCCATGCCAGAGTCCACAGGAGAGTAAACATGCTCTCCCTGACTTTATGAGCCTGTTCTTCCCGCTCATCTATTGATGAGCACCTGGGTGGATTCCTTACTCTGGCTGTTGTAAATTGTGCTACAATAACCAGGAATCTGCAAGTACATGGCAAGATGACTAGGTACTTTCAGGTATATACGCAGAAATGGTATAGCTGGGTCACATGGTTCCATTTTTAGTTTTTCTTTTGAGGAATTTGCATACTGATTTCCATAGTGGCTGGACTAATTTACATTCCCACTATCAATGTACAAGTGTTTGCCAACCCTACAAACATTTGCTGTTGTGGTTTTTTTTTTAATTATTATTATAGCTATGCTGACTAAGGAGGAGTAAGATTGAATCTCAATGATTTGCATTTCCCTGATAGCTAAGGAATAGGCACATTTTCTTATGCATTTATTGGTTATTTGTGTCTTTTAGTTGGAAAATTGTTCTTTGCCCATTTGTTGATTGAATTTTGAAAGTTGTCTTTTTATTATGTGTATGTGTGTATGCTTACATGAGTGTAAGCCATGTGAGTGCATGTTACCGTGGAGGCCAGAAGAGGGTGCTGGATCCATTGGAGCTGGAGTTACAGGCAGCTGTGTGTGCTGGGAACCAGACCAAAATCTTGTCCTCTTCACGAGTAGCAAGTGCTCTTAACCACCGAGCCATCTTTACAGCCCCCATACAGAAGCTTTTTGTCAATTCTTGGTCTTACTTCTAAAACTCTGAAGTGTTGTTGTTTTGTTTTCCTCCAGTAGTTTCATGTTTCAGGTCTGACATGAAGGTTTCTGACCTATTTGGAGTTGGTTTTTGTATGCGGGGTGGGAGATAATGATCTAGCTTTAGTTTCCCAGTTTTTCTATGTGAAAGAGGCTGTCTTTTCTCTATTTTTGGCCCCTTTTATCAAGAATCTGATGACAATTTCAGTTTAGATTTCTTTTTTGTTTTGTTTTGAGACATGGCCTTTCCATGTAACCCTGGCTGTACTGGAACTTGATTTGTAGACCAAGAGGGCCCACTTGCCTCTGCCTCCCATGTGCTGTGATTAAAGGTGTGGCAATCACATCCACACATATTTATATATCAATAAATATAGATTTATTTTTAAGCCTTCTGTTCCCTTGTTCCATGTGTCTGCTTTTATGCTAAGGACAGGCTGTTTTTGTTTTTGTTTGTCGCAGTGTTTCTGTAGTATACTTTGAAGTCAGGTATTCTGATACTTCTGGTATTGCTTTTTATTCCTCACTCTGGGATTCTTTTTTTTTTTTTCTCTCACTTTTTAAAATGTGTATAGGTGTTTACGCACACGTCTGTGTTATTTGGTATGTCTGTGTGCGGGTGCCAGATCCCATAGAACTGGAGTTATATCAAGTGATAGCACATGCTGGAGAGGTTGTGGAGAAAAAGGAACCCTCCTCCATTGCTGGTGGGAATGTAAACTGGTTCAACCACTTTGGAAGTCAATCTGGCGCTTTCTCAGACAACTAGGAGTAGTGCTACCTCAAGACCCAGCTATACCACTCCTAGGTATATACCCAAAATTTGCTCAAGTACACAACAAGGACATTTGTTCAACCATGTTCATAGCAGCTTTATTTGTAATAGCCAGAACTTGGAAACAACCCAGATGTCCATCAACAGAGGAATGGATACAGAAATTGTGGTATTTTTACACAATGGAATACTACTCAGCAATCAAAAAGGAGGAAATCATGAAATTTGCAGGCAAGTGGTGGGATCTAGAAAAGATCATTCTGAGTGAAGTATCCCAGAAGGAGAAAGACAAACTTGGTATATACTCGCTTATATAGACCTACAAGACATGATAAACATAATGAAATCTACACACCTAAAGAAGATAATCAAGAAAGTGGACACAGGCGAAGGTGATTAATCCTCATTTAGAAAGACAAATGGGATGTGCATTGAACTTATGACAGGAGTCTACCACAAAAGGCATCTGAAAGACTCTACCTAGCAGTGTTTCAAAGCAGACACTAAGACTCATAACCAAACCCTCGGCAGAGTGCAGGGAATCATATGAAAGAAGGGAAGTTAGTATGATATGGAAAGGATAGGAGCTCTACAAGGACCAAACATATCTGGGCACAGGGTCTTTTCTGAGACTGACACTCAACCAAGGACCATCTATGGATATAACCTAGAACTTCTGCTCGGATGTGGCCCGTGGTAGCTCAGTAACCAAGTAGTTTTCCAAAGTAAGGGGAACTTTTTTTTTTTTTTTTTTTTCTCAAGGGCAGGCTGTTTGACCCCCCCCCCCCGGGGAGGAGCTGTCTGTTAGGCCACAGAGGAGGACTTTGCAGCCAGTCCTGAAGATACCTGATAAAACAGGGTCAGATGAAAGGGGAGGAGGTCCTCCCCTATCAGTGGACTTGGAAAGGGGCAGGGAGGAGACCAGGGAGGGAGTGTGGGGTTGGGGAGGGAATGAGGGAGTGGGATACAGCTGGGACACAGAGTTAACAAAATGTAACTAAAAAGAAAAAAAAATAATAATAAAAATAATAAAAAAAAGAACTGGACAATTGCAAGCCACCACGTCGGTGCTGGGAATCAAACCCAGGTCCTCTGAAACGACAGCCAGTGTTCTTAACCACTAAGCCATCTCTTCAGAACTCCAATTTAGGATTCTTTTATCTATTTGGAGCTGTTTGTATTTCCATAAAAATTTTAGAGATCCCCTTCTAAATTTCTCTTTAGATTTAGATGAAGAAAGATTACAAAGAATTTGTAGATCACTTTTCTAAATGGCTATTTTCTCGATATTCTGCCAAACAAGTGAAATCTTCCTGTCTTCAGGTGTCTTTCTTTCTTTAATGTTAGGTCTCAGACAGTCCATACTTAGATGTCAAGCTGTCCATATATTTAGAAATGAGCTCAAGCTGGAGCACAGAAGAATTTCTGATGTCTAGATAAAAGCCAACATTCCCTAGGAACTTGTGAAGCAGGTTCCAATCTGCCAAAAGGAGTCATTTCCCTTAACCTCAGGCAGAAGGGGCAGAAGGTTCTATTGACATAGATCTGTGGTCACATTTCAAAGCTCTCCAGGCTCTCTCAGTCCCTACTCACAGCTACTAGTTACACAATTCAAACTAGCATCCTCGCTCTTCTCACCTCCCCAGGGCTTCCCTCTTCTTCATAACTGATGAGGTTTTTACCTTTGCGCTGCTATTCATCCTTCTCTAGCAGATAGCCCTGGCCATGTCCAATCTGTTACTTTCTCTCTGCTCTGAACTCTTCCAGAACTCTGGATATTCTCTCTCTCTCTCTCTCTCTTGCTGTCTGTCTCTCTATCTCTTCTCTCTCATATGCACAATAAAAACCTTCCCCTTAACCATACCGTGGAGCTGTCATGCCAGCAGTTTCTTTACTGTGCCTCTTTGCATACATCTGGTGACAAAACTCCAGCATAGATTTATGCTTCATAATTTCTTTTATTTGTTTGTTGTTTGAGACAAGCTATCACTACCTTGGCTACCTGGAACTCACTATGTAGCCCATGCTGGCCTTGAACTCATAGAGATCCACTAGTCCCTGCCTCCTGAGTGCTGGGATTGAAGGCATGCATCAGCATGCCCAGCTGATCCATTGTTTTCATTGTCTAGATTTTTAACATCTTTGGCTAATTAAGCTTTCATCCTAGTTGCACTTGTTTGGTTTTGAGGCTATTATAATCGGTACTGACTTCCTGACATTTTTTCAGAGTGAGTTGTTGGCTCACAGAAAAGGCACTGATTTGTTGTTGATTTTAGGTCTTCCTCCTTTGTTTTTGTTTATTATATCTAAATATAATATAATATCTTGGATGTTTAGGGTCCTATAACTTGAAAACAAGGCAGTTTGCCTCCTCTTTTTTATTTGTATCATTTTACTTCTTCCTCTTGACTCAGCAGTAATTCCTTTCAAGGATAAACTTTTTTATACGTGTGTGTGTGTGTGTGTGTGTGTGTGTGTTTAAAATAAGAAAAAAAATTCCTTGAATATTTATACTGTCTCTGCCTCCTGAGATGTCCTAAGAGCACAAGGAGTGACATTTTTACTCCGAAACGAAAGGAGACAGGGTGTACCTGTGCATTGGGTGAAAGAGGAATGGATTTGGAAGTTTTTGCATAATCACTGAGGGTGTTTAGTGACTAGTGTCAGAGCAGGACAGCATGGGCAGAAACCAGGCTTTTCTGGTTCACTTACTTGCGTTCTCAGATGGGGCCAGCATTTTCCCTGCCTCCTTCACCTCCCAGAATGACTCGTGCTTGAGAATACAGTCCTGAATGGTTTACCTAAGTTCACTCCCTTTTCGGAGAACAGGAAGTCAAAAGGTGAGTGACAGAGCCACCTGCTGCTCTCTCCTTTCATAGGTTTAAGAGGAGCCCTGGTGAGCTCCTTGGACTCCTGTGAACATCAGCAAGTATATTCTGGAAGGTAAGAGGCAAGGACTGTCACACTAATTTTTACCTCCATAGAAGCAAACTAGCCTTCACCGCACAGACTCACAACATTGGAGGAAACTTCCCCAAGCAGCCAAGAAGCTAGCAAAGGTGAGAGCTTCCTTCATTTTCCCTCTTCTCAAATCTTACTCCTCAAGTTATTGCGGAGGAGGATACAATTTTATGTTCACAAGAAAAAAAAAAAAAAAAAAAAAGAGAAGGACCAGAGGAAAAGAACCTACTGAAAGGATGCATTGTGTATACTTGTGGTGTGTGTGTGTGTGTGTGTGTGTGTGTGTGTGTTTCTTCCTTTGTAAATCTGGTTTTCTGTGGTGGTATTCAACACCTTGTGTTGTATTTAAAAGATAGGTGTGGTTTGTGGACTGAGCAGCAGGCTAATAGATAAAAAGGCTGAATGGAGAGAAATCTCTAGTCTTCCAACATGTGATATTTAAGAAGAACTCAGCTTCTGTTTTTCTCTCACAAAAGAGTCTAGTGATGACTAGTTGGTTGTGAGGAGTAAATGGGACAGTGTAAAGGAATAATCCTAGTTCACAGGCGATAGCAATGCCCCACGCACACAATCATGCTCACCGCTGCGCAGAGACAGATTTTAAACTAGATGTAGGATTTGACTGACTGCTGTTAATTTTTGGATAATGTTGAATTGCTTCATCTTTCTTTCTTTTTTTTCTTCCTTTTTTTAATTTTTATTTTTTATTTTTGTTGTTGTTATTTGAGACAGGGTCTCTCTATGTAAACTAGGCTGGACTAAATTCACTATGTTGATAGGTTGGCCTTAAACTCAGAAAACTGCCTGCCTCTGCCTCTCCTGAGTCCTAAGTAAAGGTGGATGCTAACATGCCCAGCTATTTAATGTCTCTTTAAGGACATTTTAAAATGAAAGGTTAGCCAGATACAAGATCTGAGCTTTGAATGACATCGGTCTTAAGAAGAGTCTTAATACAAAGATTAACAAATAGAAGCAAGAAATCTTGCTTCCTTTTTAAATCTAGAGTTGATGCTGGAGTCAATTTCATGAATTTTGTTTCCAGGCTGAGAAATTCCTAGGCCCCAGATAAAAGTTCTGACCAGGGCAGCAAGGGCTGGGAAGAAGGAAAAGGGATGAAGGGTGGGAACTTCCTCCCGCTAATTGCACCTTTAACTCAGAGAGTCCAGCTCTGGGCTTCCCTCTCTCCTGAAGTAAGGGTGGAACCGCCCAGTGGCAGTCTGGCCAGCTGCTTCATAGGGCAGTTTTAAGTCTCTCTCAGCAAGCCTGGTGGACAGGCTCCTTGCCTGATCTTCACTAAGCTGTTTCTCCAGAGAAGAGATCTCTTCTGCTTTCGGGTTGGAGTAGAATTTGACATTCCTGGGAACATGTTTAGTTAGTTTATAATCAGACGCTCTTTGTTCTGTTCAGAGAGCCTACTCCGCTTCTCCGCTGGGTGAGGCTGGATGGTCCTCACCCCTGAAGATGATTTCATGGAGGAAGCTCTGTTGGCGTTATCATGTGTGGACCCTGGGCTGCTACATGCTGCTGGCCGTCATTGCCCTGAAGCTGTCCCTCAGACTGAGGTGTCTGGACTCTGAGGAATATCAAACCCAGTACTGCAGGGATTTCCTGTACAAGACCCTGAAGCTGCCAGCAAAGAGGTCCATCAACTGTTCAGGGGTCACTCGAGGGGAGCAGACAGCAGTGATCCAGGCTCTGCTGAATAACCTGGAGATCAAGAGGAAACGGCAGCCCTTCACAGAGGCCGACTACCTTAGCATGACGGCCGACTGTGAGCACTTCAAAACCCAGAGGAAGTTCATAGAGTTCCCGCTGAGCAAAGAAGAGGCCGACTTCCCCATTGCATACTCCATGGTGGTTCATGAGAAGATTGAGAACTTTGAAAGGCTGCTGCGAGCTGTGTACACCCCTCAGAACATATACTGTGTCCATGTGGACCAGAAGTCTCCAGAAACCTTCAAGCAGGCAGTCAGGGCCATTGCCTCATGCTTCCCGAATGTCTTCTTAGCTCGTAAGTTGGTATCAGTGGTGTATGCTTCCTGGTCCAGGGTGCAGGCTGACCTGAACTGCATGGAAGACTTGATCCAGAGCCCCGTGCCATGGAAATACTTCCTGAACACCTGCGGGACAGACTTTCCCATCAAGACCAATGCTGAGATGGTCCAGGCCCTCAAGCTATTGAATGGGCAGAACAGTATGGAGTCAGAGGTACCGCCTACACACAAAACATCCCGCTGGAAATATCACTATGAGGTGAGGGACACATTGCACATAACCGGCAAGAGGAAGACCCCTCCCCCGAATAACATGACCATGTTCACTGGGAATGCCTACATGGTGGCCTCTCGGGACTTCATCGAACATGTATTAAGCGACTCCAAAGCCCAACAGCTGATCGAATGGGTAAAAGACACCTATAGCCCCGATGAGCACCTTTGGGCCACCCTCCAGCGTGCCCCATGGATGCCTGGATCGGCTCCCTTGCACCGCAAGTTTGACCTCTCAGACATGAGGTCTATCGCGAGGCTAACCAAGTGGCAGGACCACGAGGGAGACATCGAGGCCGGGGCACCTTACACACCGTGCTCAGGGATGCACCAGCGGGCTGTCTGTATTTATGGGTCTGGAGACCTGCACTGGATACTTCAGAACCAACACCTCTTGGCCAACAAGTTTGACCCAAAGGTGGATGATAATGTTCTTCAGTGTCTAGAAGAATATTTACGTCACAAGGCCATCTATGGGACTGAACTGTGAGACACCCTGGAAGACAATTGCTACCTGTGTGACAGGGAGTCGCCAGGACCTACTGGGGCAATGCGGGGTGGGCATCTGGGGAACTGTCCTTTAGGATGGGGGCTGCTATTGAAGAGTGGGTGAGTAGACCCTTACCCCTTGTGAGCTGCTGCTGGTGAATGTGGCTAGTCTCCGGTTCTCAACCCAGCAGCCCCCCTTTGGCACCCTCGCAGGGCAAGAACAAGAAATACTGTTATTTGGGAGAATAGGGAGGGGACATGTGACTCTAGATTCTGGCTGAAGGCTTCCTGTCAGGTTCTCCCAGAGACTCTGTTTAAATACTCCCGGGACTGGTCACAGGGGGGCAACTTTAGTGGAAAAAGCCTTCCCTTTTATACAGTTAATTTAAAATAAATAGCTTCCAAACCAAAGTCCTACCCCTACAGTGTTGTCTATGGGCCCAGAAATAATCTACACAGATGAACTGTATGAGGTTTGTATGTTGGACAGTTAGTCTCTAGTGCTGGCAAGAAAGTCTCCATGGCAAGCTGTGTAGATGGCAAACTGAATCACAGAGCTAATGCTCTCATTACTGAAAGCCTTCTTAGTTTTGTTTATGTTGGTAGATTCTGAGTTTTCCACAAGGGGAAGGGACAGAGTGATTTAACTAGTTTGCTGAGTATGTGCTTAGAAGAAAAGTATGGAAGCTTCCTGGCCAAAGCTTCCGATCCCATACCAGCAACCGTTTCACTGAAGCTCATTTTGGTAGGGATGGAGGCGGCACTGCTAATAATTAGGCTGGGGAGTGAAAGTAAACTGTATTGCTAACCCAAGATGCCTGAGACTTCTGTGTTTAAACCTCTTGAATCAAAGCTTCATTTCATTATTTGACTATTAAGCTCACTATTTGTGACTCTGTAGATGGTACATTTCTCTGTGGGACACATTAATGTATGTAAATGTGTATGTATAAATGCTAAAATATGCAAATTTACAGGCACACATTCCCCATTGAAATTGCTTCCCCTCTGAAGACCCAGAGCTAATTGTTGGCCAGTATGCATTCTATTCTGTAATGAGCAAGGGGCACTAAAAACTATAGGCAGAACCTTTGAATATGGCTTAGCAGACTGTGTAAACGTCCCAGAAGAAGGATTTATGTACAGATTAACTTTGTGTAATTTGAATGAAGCTTTCATCAACATGTTTTAATGTTAACATGTTTCATTTCAAGTCTTGGTCCATTTAAGGCTTTCTCTCTACAGTCAACTTTTACTGTAGCCCATATCCCTTTAACAGTTAGTGTGTGATTGAAATTTCTTTTTTTCCCCTTTGGTTTCGATACAGGGTTTCTCTGTATAGCCTTAGCTGTCCTGGAACTCACTCTGTAGACCAGGCTGGCTTCAAACTCAGAGAGATCCACCTGCCTCTACCTCCCCAGTGCTGAAATTAAAGGGGTGCACCACCATGCCCCATGAAATTTCTATTTCAAAGTGAGCAACTTCTTCTTTTCTTCCTCCCCCTCCTCTTCTTCTTCAGATTGGCCTCCCTGAACCTGAATAATGGGCATTATTGTCACCACAAACTTACCCAATGCTGCAATGTTGAGTCCTTTGGCTCTTGCCCCCAGTCTTACCTCAGAGGTGACTGTGTCATGCCTGTTGCCAGCAGCAGTGACTATTCTGGCCCTTCCCTGAGGAGGAAGAGGGGCTGCTGCCCCATGGTATGTATGTAGAAACACCTCCACAAGATTCATATTCTGAGAAAAGAAGCTGGGTCCTTGGCTTCATGGTCAAGTTTCCCTAAAAGCTTTCACATGAACTGAGCTTTAGTCTTTCACAGAAATATATTCAAGCTATTGGTCTGTATACCTGTCTTTTTTTTTTTTTTTTTTTTTTTTAAAACTTATCTAGAATTTTCCAAACATTACAATTTTTTCTAGAAAACGAGTCAGGTGGATAAAAGTGGTTTGTTTGAATAGCACGAGGCCACCAAATCAGAAGGCTCAAACTTCACCTTGTTTGTTTAGTGTACTTTCAAGGTCACATGGGTAAGCCAGCACATCTGTTTATTTTTCCTTCTTGAGTCTTATCTGTTTCTTTAGCCTTTCTCTGGAAAGAAAAAGCCTCATAAACGAATTCAGCTGTTATGTTTACATCACCTTCCAAGGCTTAAATTTCCTCCTCATTTTGATGTGTGGCCATCATTGAGTTGTATTGTAATAACTGTGTTTTTTGTTGCATGTGCTGTTCATTCTGTTATTGGTTTAGTGAAAATTTATTAGAGACGAAAAAGCAGTTGCTAACTTTGGGACATATAATTTAGTTGGAGAGGTTATTTAAGCCGTTTAAAAATGGAGAGACTAATACTTTGCCTGGCTTAAAGTACCTTCCCTGACCAACCAGAGATCTACCCTCATGTATTCTGCTTGGTCATTATTGCAAAGGTAGACTCAGTTATGAAACTGAAAAGCTTCAGCAAAAGACATTGTCATCAGAACAAAACAGAGCCTACAGACGGGGAAAGGATCTTCACCAATATCTGACAGAGGGCTAATATCCAGAATATATAAAGAACTAAAGAAGTAAAAAGGCAACAAATCAATTAATCCAATTAAAAAATGGGGTACAGAGCTTAACAGAGAATTCTCAATAGAGGATTATCAAATGGCAGAGAAACACTTCAAGAAATGCTCAAAGTTCTTAGTAGTCAGGGAAACACAAATCAAAACGAACAGGAGCTCCACAAGGAGAGCAACAGAACCAAAACATCTGGGCACATACTCCAAACAAGGACCATTTACAAATCTTGATGTACTGACAACCAATAAAATAATTCATTCCACACATATGAACTGAGTTCTTGATGCTTAACACACAATTATTGGATATTTTTTATTACACTTATACATTTGTCCATAGAGGGAGGGGTGACAGGTGGCACATATGACATGAGTTGGGTGTGGTGCAGAGGACTGTTTTCTGTAGTAGGTTGTCTCTTTCCACCATGTGGGTCCCAGGACTGAACTCAGGTTACTTGGCTTTGTGGCAAGACCTGCTTAGCCACCCTGCCGGCCCCATGCATTGTTATTGATACTGGAAATGCAATAGTCAACAAAAAGGGGAAAATCCCAACACTCACATCATTCATTATAAAAAGTGCCAAGTGCTAGAGAGAAACTGGAGAGCTTGGGAAATAGGTGCAGTGGTGTGAGGGTATTTTACATTTTACAGGATGGTCAAGGAGGCCTTCAGTGATGGTCAAGGGGGCCTTCAGTGAAAACATCGCTTTCTGGTGTCTGAAAGAAGCAAGGGAACAATTCATGGAGATTAATGAAAGAAGAACATTCTAGGCCAAGAGGAGAGACTTGCAAGGTCTTTCAGCAAGAATGCACATGCCAAGTTTCAGAACATCAGGGAAGCTAGTTTGCACGGAATGGAGAGGAAGACCAGTTGGATACCCTAATAAAGAAAAGAGATTTATCAGTTTAGCAATTGATCAGCCCCAGCAATTTGGTCTCTGGTGAGTGTCTTCAGGCTGCATCAGATCGTGGTAGATAGTATCATGGTGGGAACATGGAGGAAGAGATCAGATTGGTGAGGTAGGAAGACAGAGCAAGGGGTAGCAGCCATTCTTGGTTTTTTATAACAAGCCTCTTGCAAGGCTTAGCAGTGCTCTCTGTTAAAAGATTCTACCCACCACAGCATCTACTACCCTTTACATCACCACACTGGGGACCAACCCTGCAACATGCAAACAAATGAGTGACACATTCAAACCACAGCAAGATGTCAAAGAAGTAAACACAGAACAGAACCCCCCACCCATCCCCTGACACATTCTGGCATGCTCAAAAAAACAGGCAAGGAGGATGAGAAAGCTACAGAAGGAAGCAGAAAGACTTTAGCATGTACAGTGAAAGGGAAACCAGTAAGGGTGCTGCTATTATGGTAGTCCAGAGGGGAAGGTGTTTCTGGAAAGAGGGAGTTGATTACTGCACCCAAACATGCTGAGAATAACAAGGTGACTGTGATGATTAGTTCTATTTGCTGACTTCCTAGAATATCCCGAGAGCATCACTGAGGGACTGTGGATATTGGGTTGGGTTGTGGGTATGTCTGTGGGAGTTAACTCAGTTAAGTGATATGGGAAGACGGTACTATTCGCATAGCAGGAAGTTCTGAGCCATGTAAAAGTGCAGAGATTTCTGGACTCCCAAAACTCAGGAGGCAAGGTCAGGGAGATCTTTGTGAGTTTGAGGCTAGTCTGGACTACATAGCAAGTGTCAGGCCAGCTGGGCAACACAGTGGGTTGGGGGGAGCAGGGTGAAGAAACTGAGTGCTAAGCAACCAAGCATGTACACATTCATGCTTTCTGCTTGTTTGTGGATGTGATGTCAGAAGCTGAAGTTCCTGCCTTGACTGCATCCTAGTGATAGACTGTAACCTAGAATTGTAGACCTAATAAGCTTTTTCTCCTTCAAATTGTTCTTTTTCTTGTGTGTGTGTGTGGGGGGGGTCAGGATAATTTTTCACAGCAACAGAAATGAGACTAGGACAGTGTGGATGGATGAAGAAGCAAAATGGATTCCAAGAGTATAGATGAATGACTCGAAGAATTGTGTTTTAAGCCGAGAGAGAGAGGAGGAGGATCCTCCATTCACTGAAGTTGTCTTGACATTTAGAAATGTGTTCATGTGTTTCTGTGTCGCTGTGGAAGATCCAATTACAGCAAAAATGTGGGAATAGTGGAGAGGCGTGCCAGAGTGACAGGGATGAGGAAGAGAGGGATGGCTAGCCAAGAGGATGAAAACTTTATGGTAACTGGAGGCTTGGGCAGCTGCCTCCGGTAGGACTGAGAGCGAAGCGGAAAGATTCAGTGGCGGGGAGATGGGTGGATGTGTTGGCATTAGTGGACCCCACCTCCTGCCTCTTCGACACTGGCAGCCTCCCTCGGTTACTCCTGACCCCACTTTCTTGAGATGGAGTAATGTGTGTGTTGGAGCTCAGACTGAGGTTCTCATGCTTGCCAGGTAGCACTTTACCGGCTTGAGCCCTCTTCCTCACCCCCTCTCATTAACACACCATCTGAGGTATAATATACCATAGAAAGTACAAAATGCCCATATATATGGCTTCAGAAGAGTTACAGAGCAAACACCCCTGTGTTAAGTAGAGCCCAGATCCTGGAACAGTAATGACTAGCATCCCCGGGTGCTTCTGTGCCATTTCCGTCATGAAATCACGACACCACTTTACTTTCCTGTCAACAGAGTACATGGGTACTAACTGCTTTACAGTCTTCCTCAACACGTCCAATATTCTGCCTGCCACAGCCAGAGGAGACCACAAGAAGGTTTCAGATGCCCTGAAGCTGGAATTAAAGGTGGTTGTGAGCCACCTGATATGGGTGCTGGGAACCAAAATCAACATGTTACAGGTTCCTGTGCCTTTTGTAAAGTAAAAAACACCTTGCCGACCCACATTCCCAGGCATATTCCCTTCACCTGTGTACTAAAAAAAAAAAAAAAAAAAAAAGTCATTTTATTACATCATGCAAAAATTTTTCTTTTAACTAAAGTAGTGGGCATTTTTAGAATGGATTACCAAAATCATTTTATCCTGGAGTCCCCTAGAATGTAACAGTAGCAGAGAGCAAGCAGGTATGTACAGTAGCCTTATACATGTGCTATGAATGTAATGCGTTTGGAGAATAAGCAAGCCCTAAGTAGTGTAGGCTAAATGCTGTAGATTGCACTTGCTGGTGCTTGAAAATCTTTTACAAAGCTTGGAAACAGAGCTCATTGGGTAGAGCACTCCCTTAGGATGCATCAAATCCTGTGGTGGATGCCCGGGATCATATGAACCAGGTGTAGTGGTGCACACTTGCTGCATGGGAGGTGGAGGCAGAAAGGTCAGTTCAAGGTCATTTTCTACTTGTGTCTGGTTTGAGACTAGCTTAGGTTATATGAGACTGTCAAAAAAAAAATGTTGAAACAACATAGTTTAATTCCCATTGTGGATTTCATTTACTTATTACTATTTCAACAACTATCAATTCATGGTCAGTTTTAATATCCACTCCTCACCCTTTTTGCTTTCTGAAATGGTAGACACCAATTAATTTTTTTTTCTTTTTAGTAGTAAGAGCCTATGTTAATCCAAGAGTTCTCATTTCATTCATATAGTATGTTTCTTGGTGAGTAGCAGCAGGGATTTAAAGTGCTTCCATAATTAGCAATGCCACACAAAGATAGCTGGGATTATTTTCATGCATTCATTTTTAGCTGTTGAGGTTTCATGGTCAGTTTTCTTCCCGACTGAATTTGGGGTTGTAAAAGCAGACTTCTATCAGGGTCTGGATCCACCAGCCTTGAACGTTTCTGATCTGTGAACCACATCTGTGATCATGACCTGGCATCTTGTCCAGTAGGTCCTGATTAAGGGCAGCATGTTAACTAACTGAACTTCAGGCTCTGTTGAGTTTTCATGAAAGATTCCCTTATCTGGGCTCTCTCATTCCTGTAGTTATTCTCCTAAATCTAATTTAAGATCTTGTCTGAATACTGTTTTAAAAATAAAAATCCTTTTGAACATTTTACTTTGTCCTTTGTATTTCTTATCCACAAAGGCAATTAAATGGTTTGAGGATGAGCTGGGTATGCAGGGGCTGGGGAGATGATGGCTCAGAAAGGACCAAATTTTGGATGGAGGCAGATAGATACAGGAGACTGGGCAAAATGGAGAGGTTAAGGTTCAGTGAGACTCTGTTTTAAGGGAAGATGGTGGACAGTGCTAGAGTAGGCCATTTGAGCTCCTCCAGCTTCCTCACGAACATGCACTAGAGTACAAACACACACACACACACCCAACATACACACATATACATACCTCAACATACACACAAACATATCCACACACCAAATGTGTGGTGATGTGCACCTGTAATCCCAGCCTCTAGGTGGCAGAGGCAAGACACCTGATCTAGACAGCGAGCTTCAGGCCAGCCAGGGATCTACTATCTACACAGGGACATAGATCTTCCCTCAAAGCATAAAGTAAAAAATAATAAAATAAATAAAAATTTTAAAAAGCCGGCCAAGTGACTAAGAATTTCTATGCCCAGATTTCAAGGCCTCCTGTAACCTACCCTGATTCTCCTGGGTGTACAAAAATGAAGTGCTTTCAATTTCCCTTTGACATGTATTCTGATCATAACAAATCCACATTTCCTCATTATGCTGCAAATGGTCCTTAGTTCTTATATACACATATTTATACAAACATGTAAGTATATATATATATATGCCTATGTATATTTAGTTTCTCATATATCTATACATTTATGATTTTCAGAAATGTAGTGTTAATGATAAATTGTGAACACTATGATTAAGGGCTGTTAAGAGAAGAAGTATTTACCATTGTGGTGGTTTGAGTGAAAGTAGCCCCCATAGGTTCATATGCTTGAATGCTTAGTTGGTAGAACTGTTTGGGAAGAATCAGGAGGTGTGGCCAGGCCCAGGGTCGCCCCCATCTCTCTCTCTGCCTGCTGCCTGAATTAGGACATAAACCTCTCAGGTATTGCTCCAATGTCATACCTATCTGGTCCCTCCCATGGTGGTCCTGGACTCACCCTCTAAAACTGTAAATATGTTCCCAACTACCTGTTTTCTTTATTTCTTTCATTTTCTAAAAAGTTACCTTGACCGTTGCTCTTCAGAGCAATAGAATAGTAACTAAGACACCACCTCAAACTGACTCAAGGTAGACGAGACCACAAATACCAACCAATCACTCAGCTGTTATTAAAACCATGGAAAAGTCAATTCTTTGTCTATTGTCTTGGATCTTAAATAACATGTATCTGGATAACTACCTGATCTCAGAAGGCACAGCTTTCTTTATCTCCTGAAAGTAGATGAGCTAGTTGTTTCCCTCTTGTGCACTGATAGCCTAGAGTCTGCTCTTGAGGTGTAGGCTCTTGTGTGACCCTTTCCTTTAATTCCAGGAGAACCCCTGTGAACACTATGGGGAGATTCAATACCTCAGGGCTGGCACTATGACTCTGCAGCTAAAAGCACTTGTTGGCAAGCCTGAGAGCATTGTTTGATCTCTACATTGATCCACATTGTGGAAGAAAACAGGCTCCCACAAGTTGTCCTCTGACCTCCACATGTGACTTCATAGGTGACCTCCACACCAAATAATCAGAAATGTAGTAACAAAAGTTACACTACAGAGCAAATGTTGGTCACATGATGTACAGTCTATGAAAACAGTTATAACTAATGTATATCTGCCAAGGCCACCCACGAATTCCAACTGGTGAAATGCAGAACTCATGTTGGGCATTCCATTCCGGTTAGCTGCCCATTTAGTGACCTGAAATTATTCTATCAAAGGCCAGTACTCAGCTTCTGTGCAAAACCCTAAGTACAGATTATATCATCTTACACAGTTTTGAAGAGAAATCTGGGTTGAACTACACCATTCACATTTCTAGCCTCTGTGCTGCCTTACAAGAAGCTATGAAACAATTAGTAAAGGCCCAAGAAGACCTCAGTAGGTAAAGTGCTTGTTGCCTAATAAGCACGAGGACCCATTTGATCCCAAAATCCACTTAAAAAGCCAGATGTGGGAAAGTACCCCTGTAATCTCTCAGTACTAGAGAAGTAGAGACAGGAGGAATCCCAGAACCTGCTGGCCACCCAGTCTGTCCTACATGGTCTCAGGTCCCAGTGAGAGCCTTTTTTTTTTTTTTTCCCCCAAATATGGGTGTTGTTCACTCAGGTCCTTAGGGAAAGTTATTTTTAATACATTTCTGAAAAGCTATTTTGTCGAACACTTCTGCCAACTTAGTATCTCTTGGCAGAGGGAAAATGAGCCTTTTGCTATGGAAGGACTTTCTCAGTTCTTCTCAAACAAAAGGATTCTCTTGAGACTTTTCTTCTTCCTCTTTGCATGCAATGTAATGCTGTGTGAGTGTATGTATTAACCAAAGGCCAGAGGCTTCCTCAGTTCATTTTTGAGATACTGCCTTACTGAACATGGAGCTTGCTACTTTGGTAAGACTGGCTGGTCAGCAAGTCCCAGCTATTCTGTCTCTGCCTGCCCAAGAGCTGGGATTGCAGGTGCACACAGAGGGGCTTTAGTATGGGTTCTGAGGGCCCAAACTTTTTTCATTTCGAGCAAAAGCAATTTACGTACTGAGCCATCTCCTCAGAGTTGCACAAGTGCAAGCAGAAATTTATTTAGTAAAGCAAGCACTCCAAAAATTGGGGTAGACTGTCCCAAAGGGGAAGAGCAGTTTCTGCATTGAGAATTTTCAAGTTGTATGAAACACTTAAGAAGCGCATATTCATGAATATGCACAAATCACGGTGAGTCAGGGTCTACTCTCCCATGATCCCCTAGAAAAGCCCACAAAGGTAAGGTGTCAAAACCATGATGTAGGGAGCAGGCAAGATAGATGACTCAGTCACAAAAGCCTAACCACTTACATTCAATTTCTAGAACCCACATAAAGACAGGAGAACGGACATCCTAAGTTTGTCCTCTGCCCTCCACATGCAGGTATGGCACACATCTGTCCTTGACTTCCAATTACAAACACAATAATAATAGTCTTAAAAAAGAAAAACAACTGTAAATTACAAGAGATGGAAGTCTTTTTAGGATGTGACTCTTTTGTTTGGTCACATATGTTACTTTAGTTTTGTTAAAGCAGAAATCGCCCACCTGCAGCCTTAAGAACGTTTAACCAAAGATCATGTCAGCAATGTAGCTACCAGAGACACAAGTGCAGCTCTGTTGGCAACCTATCTGCTTTCTGAGACTGCTGAAGGTCCCATCTCTGATCTCTGGACAAAATGGCAGTCTTGGCTATTGTCCCAGTCAAAACAATAACATTAAAACAAAGCAAAACAAAACAACTCAAAACCAACTCTGATGCCTTATGATGAAAGTCGGGGCCAGGGTTTTACATTAGCTTGTCAGGCTGTACAAACAGGAACAGCCTTGGCCACCTTCTAGGTCCCTTTCCCCAGCTCTGCTGATTCTAATTTTCATCCTGATGTGTTAGCTCAAGTGTTAAACTGCAGATGAAATGGGGCTGGCCACAGCATGGAGGGCACATATTCACTTTTACTAAGTGATAAGAAAGGGCTACATGTATACATGAGGTCTATCCCTCAATCACCTGGTGCCTGACTTCTCAACAGTGTCTGATCAGCCATGCTCTTAATTGTGTTTTCTTAGTTTGACATAGGACAGTTTTTCAAGTACACAAAGATGTAGAAACAGATGTCATATATTTGTACTAGGACTTTAGCAAAAGACTTGTATTTTGCCTGCATGTATGTATGTCCACCACATGCATGTGTAGAGCCCTCAGAAGTTGAGGGTGTTACATCCCCTGGAACTGGAGTTACAGGCAGCTGTAGCTGTTAGGTACATGTGGGTGCTGGGAACCAAGCCCAGGTCCTCTGCAAGAACAAGTGCTCTTAACTGTGGAGACATCTCTCCAGCCTGAGGATTTTGTATAAAAATCAGAATCCCAGTATTTGGTGAGATGTAGACCATTTAAAAATGTATGAATACTGGTAAGGGCAAGGTCAAAAATAAGTGACATGTCATACAGGAATGCTATTTGGAGCAGGGCCTTGATTCTGCTATACTATCTATCTAAAGTGCACCTCATTCTCAACTCAGGTTGCTCACATTGACTTAGTTCTTAGAAAAAAAAGTGTGTGTGTGTGTGTGTGTGTGTGTGTGAGAGAGAGAGAGAGAGAGAGAGAGAGAGAGAGAGAGAGAGAGAGACTTTCTTAGTAAAAGTCTATCCACATTGAGGTCTGCATTGGTATTTTCAACTGATAAAATTACAATTGACAAAGTGAACAAGATTTTATTGAAGGACACATTTCTTAAGTTTATCTCCTCACCAAACAGCTGCATCAATTATTACTCAAAACAAGTTTTAAAACAAGTTTATTGAAGAATATTCTTATGAAGGCAACCACTTTTGATTTGTCATTTCTTTATGCTGTGTACCAAAGGTCACATAAGAGAACAGAGTCACGTGCTTCTCTCTGTGGGACCCTTGGCTAGTGAATACAGCACAGTGTTGTCATTTGTGCACCGTGAGAATAAATTAAAAAAAAAAAGTCTCTTCTGTTTCTCTTCAAAAAGCGATGAGAATACCAGAAGGTGGCTAAAAAGCCTCCTTTTTCTACTCATTCCGCAGTATTGGAGCCAGTATCTAGAAACAGGAAAGAGATCAATTCAAGGAGCAAATTCTAAACATCAGTACTTTAGGAACATCTAGGATAAGGACTAGAAGTGTTGTGTGGGGGGAGGAGGAAGAGGAGAGGGGCACTCTGGAAAGGCCCTGTCAAGGTCAAGATCTTCCTTCCCAAGGCAGAGGTAAGATACAGCCTAAACCTCCAGGTGTCTGCTGTGGGCTAACATAAACAGCTTTTCCAGGCCACATCCTGCTGGGAAATACAGAAACTTCTGGCTCTGGCTATTGCTGCCCTTTCCTCTGCTACTCTATTGGGAACACAGACTAATTTTTGGATGCTGGTTTTTAGAACTAGCATTATTTTATATTAACAACTGATTTATTCAAAATCACCAAAGAATGGAATTTCTTTATTAACAGAACCTAATTTTTAAAGGCCAAACTGTGTTTTATCCATGTCTATGATTTCATTTTTTCCTGTAGATACAGAAAAGATGGAACTCACCACAACCATTTCTTAAGCATTCAAATCTCTGTTAAGAATCACTTACTATGGTTTCCTTCAAATGAGGGCAGCTCTCCAGGGACCACTTAACTGAAGTAGACAGGTAATTTGCTACTTCTTACTATCTGAGGTTGGAAAACAGTCTTGTGACTTTTAAAGAAGGACAGCACCAAGGACTACGAGGCAGAAGCTCCTGTTAATAACACACTTAGCCCACAACACAGGGGTCTCTCTGCTATTAAGGTTGCTCAGAGGTTTTTGCTTTTTTGGTTCAAATGACTGAATCTGACCCTCTACTAGTCACATCTATTCTGCTCAATTACAGTAGCCACTGGTTAACCATGCAGCTGCTTATGATTTATCTAGTTCAACTAGCTAATGACATGTAATAAGATGAAAGTTTTTAGCTGCCCTACTCACATTTTAAGTGCTCAAGAGCCATGCTTGACTACTAATTAGGGACTTCAGACACAAAACATTTTCATCATTACACAAATTCTCAACAGTATTGGTGCTCATCACTGGCTCTTTCCCCCAGAGCTAGGGATTGAACCTAAGGCCCCATACATGCTGAGCCCTCTATCAATGTGCTATCTCCAGCTCTCTTTTTACTCTTTTAGACAGGATTTCTTTAAGTTGCTCAGGCTGGCCTTGAGCTCACTCAAGGCCTGGGCAATAACCTGGGCAAGCCTTGAAGTTATCTCTGTTTCAGCTTCCCAAATAATGTAGATTACAGTTCTGTGGCACCTGGCCCATTTATAGCAATTCATTAAAAAATATCTAGGAACTATAAATTAATGCACATATTCTATGGTCTAGTAAATATTTAGAAGCTCAGAGTCGTCTGGCATGTTGGCACACGCCTTTAATCCCAGCACTTGGGAGGCAGAGGCAATTGGATTTCTGTGAGTTCAAAGTCAGCCTGGTCTACAAAGCCAGTCTAGGACAGGCAGGACTCTGTTACATAGCGTAAATCCTGTCTCAAAAAACCAAAACCAAAACAACAACAATAATAATAAAAATAAAAAACAAAAAGAAGAAAAAAGCCCAAGTTATAAGAACTTCATTTCAAAATATTATCTTATAGTACAAGAAACAGTACCTTTATAGAAATGGAAAACAAAAGGTGACCCAAATGTACTTTATCCCTAGCAAAAACAAAAGCTCCTAAGTATCTGCTGGTCACACTAAGAAGTCTCTAGGACTATGGCTGTGGACTTCTAGTTAGCTTTCTGATGAGTAGTCAGTGTAATGGTACTAATTTCTTAAGACTTTTTGACATCTGGAAGACTTTTAAAACATAGGCCTGAATGAGTGTGGTGGCACACGTTTTTAATCTCAGCACTCAGGAGGCAGAGACATGCAGATCTGTGAGTCTGAAGCCAACCTGGTCTACATGGTGAGTTCCAGGACAGACAAGGTTACACAGAAAAATCCTGTCTTGAAATATAAAATCAGTCAATAAAGGGCTGAAAATTTATGTAGCCATCAGAAATCAGAATAAAAATAATAATCTATGTGGAAAACGATGTATGTCTACACATGCCTCTATGCACAGATGTGTTACTATAAAAATACATCCCTAAGACTTGAAAGGCTTTACTTTTGAAGGTGAACAGTTATCTGTAGAGGTGGATTATACATGGAGCTTTTCTGTATTCTCTACATTTCTTCAAATTATTTCTTTGAAAATCCAGGAAGCAGAGGCAGGTGAATCTCTGAGTCTGAGGACAGCCTCGTTTATATAGTGAGTTCTAGGCTAGTCAGGCCTCAGAGATCCTGTCTCAAAAAAACAAAAACAAAACAAACAAAATCCACAAGAAAAGGGGGTATTAATATCTATACTTCTCTTTCTCTTGCTTCACAGAACTCCCCTTCCTGGAATGTGGCAGTCTTAACACAGTGCTGGGACAAAACAGTATTAGAGTGCAAATATAGTAAGTACAAGGTCTTAGGTTCTATTTAAAATAAACAAAAGGATCTAACTAGTTATGAGCACAGGGCAGAGATGTGCCACTGTAAAAATGTCTAAGGACCTGAAGAAACTTCTAGGTCTGCTGTGGAAAACTCTCTTGCATAAATGGAACAAGAGTAATGGGTATCTCCCATTATAACTGCAAGGTTCATGAGTAGTTTAAATCAGCTTTAAAATAATTAGCTTGTGTAGGGTACCCAGCAACAAGGAAATCTTGAGATAAATTGTCAATGTTACATTGCTTTTTTAGAAAGGTGGCAGTGAGAAGCCTAATGACTACTTCAAATAAGCGACTTAACGAAAGGAAATTTAGTAATTAGGTTATTTTCTTTGCACATGAATCTAATCTGTGTTAAGGATCTAGGAGTCACCGGAGCATACAGATGTTAAGGTCAGTAAGAGTACAGATGTAGAATCTAGAAGCTAGGTTTTTATCTGAGGGTTGATCACCTGACCACTTTCCCCTGAAGCTTTCAGACAGACCAATATAATTAAAGAGTAGGAAAAAAAAATTTCAACAAGTTTTGCTTTCACAGTAATTAGGTAAGCACTTACTTTTACCATCACAGGCTACAATTTTCACTTTATCCACTTTAATAAGTTCTGTCACCTCTCTGAATTCAACATCATTCAATACAAAAGTCCAAACATTATCGCAGAATCTGTATGTATTTAGAGAGCCCTTTAAAACAAAACATTAAGAAATGCCATGAGAAGCCATTGTTTCCCCCTCATGCTTTATTTCAAAGTAAATCCAAAGAACTTTGCTACGAAGTATATAGCTGCTAAAACAATATGCTTAATACTTAGCTTAATTTATTTAATTGGTTTATTAATTCTATCTACTTAGAACAGCAAGAGAAAACCTGGATAAGTTAGCTCAGGGAAGACTTTAGCTAACTATTTTTAGCACTCTTAAAACCTGCAAATTACTTACCTGAAATGAAAAGCTCTATGAAAGCTTTAATTTGTATGTCTACTGCCCTCTCATGGATAAATTATGAAAGTGCATTAGCTGTCTCTTGAGAAATGGTCTGTACACAGAGCCCTGGCTATCCTGGAACTCGCTATTGCAGACCAAAAGGTTCTGGAACTGTCTACTTCTTCCTCCTGAATGCTGGAATTAAAGATGTGCATCTCTGCACTCTTCTGAATTGATTAAAAAAAGATTTATTTTTACATATGCATGCATGCATGTATTTGGTGCATGCATGCCTGAGCTTATGTGTACTACATTTGTGCAGATGCCTGTGATGCCTGGTGAGGCAGTCTGACTTCCTGGACCTGGAGTCAGAGGTAGTTGTGTGCCATCTGATATGGGTGCTGGGAACCAAACCCACAATTTCTACAAGAGCAGTAAGTTTCCTTAGCTACTAAACTCTCTCCACCCTTCACATTTGACTTTTTGTCTTTTGAAACAGGATTTTACTATGTAGTCTTGATTGTCCTGGAACTCAATATGTAGACCAGACTGTCCTCCAATTCAAGAGATCTGCCTCCTGAGTGCTGGAGTTAAACACATGCACCCAGCTCCATTTGAACTTTTTACAAATATTTGAAGCTCCCTATTTCACTGTGTGTTCATTCTCTAAACGTGTACAAAAGCAGAGATCCCTTATATTTATCCAATCCTGTGACTGGCTCGGAAGCATCACTGTTGGTTATTAAGAATACTTTAAATCAGCTTTTTCTGAAACTCTTCTGTCACTCAAACCCAAAAAATTCAAAATTACCATTTGTCTCTCTCTATTCCACCATATTCATAGCCATCAAGTCCTGTCAGATGTACCCTTTAAAGTCTTCCCATTTCTAGCCATCCCTTGTTAGAACTACAGTAAAGCTACTTTGACCATTCTGATTCATCTGTCTATGAGGCATGATCTTTTGCTTCTAGTCTCATGTCCCTGTAACCCATCCTTCATGTCAACACAAAAGGGCAAATCAAACTGAGTGGCTCCCGAGATTAACAGCCCTTTATTGACCTCCTAATAACATTAGCATGAGGTGTGAACTTGCTGGGGTCCTATGGTTTCTTTGAGGTCTCCTTCACGTTAGCATCTCCTAAAGCACTGTTTTCTGGAACTTCCTAGCCTATTCCAAGTATCATCTTCCTTTCCACAGTACCACCACTCCTTTAGCTGACTGAATCATCCTTCAGGACTCAAGCCTTACCTTGTGAGCGCAACACTTTGTCCTCCATACCTGCTCTATTCCCACTGACCCAAGCAACATTCTCCCAACACTGTTAACATATATTTTTTTAAAGGTCTGCTTGCTAAACTATGCCAGTAGCAGAGAATTTGCTTTCTGCTGTAGTCTGAGTCCTACACACACAGTAATTATTTGTCTACTAAGTTCATGAACTACAATTCATTTATAGTTATCAGCTTTTTAAATCATCCTTATATTTAGATTCAATCAGTTTTCACCAATATGGATACTATAGGAATAATTTTAAGATTTTTATTTTCGGTTTAAATATTTTGTGCTGAATTTCACATTTGAATATATGTATGCATGCATAATATATATTAGGTTTTTATTCTATTTTGCTGGTGTTTAACCTAGTACTTTTTCATACTTAAAATACTTCCTTTTATGTCCAGTGATATGTTTCTGCTTCTAGATAAAAATCTAAACCAAAAAAGAATTTTTTTTTTATTCAAAGAGTCAGTTGCATAGGACAGTGAGCCTTTACATATATATAATTTTTGCACATATGTAATTTTTACTTAATTCTTGTATTTCATTTCAGTATCTAGTACCTTAAAATCCACTTTAAGTTATTTGCCACTTATTTTTTACCTTTTACTAATATTTAAACAACTCAAGCTTTAGGCCTCATACTCAGGGACTGTTTCTTGTAATCTCCCACTGAATAGTATCACTTACACAGAATTCACATAAGGATATGAAACCAAAAGTTAGCTTATAAGTTATGTAAGATCACTCTATTCCTTAAATGGTGGACCTATCTTACTGGTAGCAAAAATCACTATATATAAAAATACCTATTAATATGCTATCAAGCAATGTGACTTCAAAGTTAAGTAGTGGCAGTATATTATCTCTCTGCTATATGGTACACCAAGCTAAACAGAATGTATTTTGCACATATAGTTTGCTGTAATCCAAGGGCAAGGAATGGAAGCCCAGGCTGCAGCAGTAGCAACGGGAAAAGAAAAAGTAAACTGGAAAATTAAGACCTGAACAGGGCCAAGTCGTTACAATCACAACTCTTGGAAAATTGACAGACTCACTATGCATGAGAAACACAAGCATCCAGTTAACTTCTGCCAAAGAGACCCACACTAGACATTTCTAACAGCAATTAGCAGACTATCAGGTCTAGTGAGCTTTACTGCCTCTGATACGCAGCCCACTTAATCTTCTAAATGGCCAACACTTACGCAGTTTAACACAGATCAATTTAAAATAAAGTTGAAATTTCAAACTGGGCAGATTCCTTCTGACAAAAAAGGACTCTGTCAGAACCATTACTGTTAAAAATCCAAGAATCCACTTGTCAAATTTTGTACTCTTAGAGATGTGACACCCTTTTCTTTTTTTCCTTCTTCTTCGACTCAGTTTCTCTGTGTGGCCCTGGCTGTCCAGGAACTGGTCTGTAGGCCAGGGTGGACTTCAGAGGCACAGACAGAGATCTGCTCGCGTTTGCCTCCTCAGTGCTAGGATTAAAGTGTGTGCCATCATGCCTGGCTGGTATCTTTGACTATTTGCACCTGTTATTTTTAAGCATGTAAACTGATAGACATTAAAATATAAGTCAAAGGGGGACCTCATCTATCTTTGCATTTCCAGTACCTAGAACGTCTATTACCTAACAGGCACTTAAATGCTTAAAAAAAAATACATTCTTTTGTATTTTGTCAACAGAACATTCTCCTTGCCTCAACACTGAGGTTTTCTTAAATGTTAAGTAACTCACACATTCTTTTCCTGTACTGATCTTTATATGTTTAAATTTACTTAAATAATTTTAATTTACTTTAATTTAAATATAAATAAATCTTTATATATTTAAATTTATTTCTATAGCATGGTTGTATCTTGCAATATAACATATCAGAGAAATATAACAACGTAACAGCAAACATAATTATCCACAATGTATCTCTACCAGCATGACATGATAAACTGTTTTGCCACATCTTACAATGAGTTCTGAACCCCAAATCACCACAACATTGTGGTATTTTGTTCATAGCAGAGATGACTTAAAAGACACACAGTTCCCAAAGAAGACTTTGTAAGTCAAGCTATCTAAGGGTAGATGGGAGGCAACATGAAGATTCTACAAATAGCCGACCTTTCCTGCAAGAACAGTTTGAAAAATATAACTGAACATAAGAATTACTCTGCCACTTACCTTCCATCTTGCAGCTAATGCTTTAAGACCATTAAAACCTCAGTAATTCTCCAGGGAGGAAAAAGCGAAACATACACAGAAGATTTGTGAAACAATGAAACTAAAAGCAATTCTGTATCACATGGAGTGGATGAACTTAGCACAAGTTCGTATCATTCAATTATTATACAACAAGTTCTGAAACCAGACTAGCCAACTCTTTCTGCTATGATGAGTTAGGTCCAGGTAGGCTCTCGGAGTTAACTGATGTGGACTGCCAGACACAGGAAAATATCCTTACCCTGAAATTGACTCTGTTCCTGACTCTCTGAGCCAGTGCTGAATTTATAGCTTTATCAAACTGCAGTAGAACTTGAAGGGCAAGCTGGGGGGTGATCTGTTGAGACTGAGAAAAAAATGAAGATCATAAATTTGCTAAGGGAAGAACATGAAAAACAAAATAAATAAAGTACACTAATTATAATCTAAAAGTTAATGTAAGTTACCCAGAACTTCTGAAGTAGAAGTCCTTATTCTCCTGTGTTCTACCTGAAGATGAAGCAAAACCTGAAAATAACTACAGTATCTTGACAAGAAAAAGAAATCTTCAGTGACTCAGCAAAGGCAGCAAAAACTCTTGCTATTCCTTTAGTGGCCGGACAAAGTATTCAAGAAATGGAAATGGAAACCAAGTTTTCTTTCTTTCTTTTTTTCCCAAGACAGGGTTTCTCTGTGTAGCCCTGGCTGTCCTGGAACTCAATTTGTAGACCAGGCTGGCCAGGCTGGCCTCAAACTCACAGAGATTTACCTGCTCTGCCTCCCGAGTGCTGGCTAAGTTTTTTTCTTAATAAAAGAAATGAGACCTATGTATAAAGAAAAAAAAAAAAACAAAAAACAAAACAAAAACAAACAAGCAAAAAACCAACCAACCAAACAAAAAACCCAAACAAAGCAAATCTTACCGGTCTGCTAAAACAGACAGAGCCAAGCAATCCCAGAAGGTGGGGATAAGGACAGGAAGACCAGGAGCTCTAGGGCATTTTTTAACTACAGAGCATTCAATGACAGTCTGGACCCTGTCTCAAAAAACTAAAGCAACCCCACTCCTGTAATTTTCTCCAGACGCCAAGAGAACATGAATAGAAGTATTTAATATTTTCTTAGTTGTGTGATTTAAGTAAGATTAATTTTTCTAAAACTAAAATAGAAATTCAATATTCTGACTCGAATCTCAAAAGGCTTTATTATATTGGACAGAATTATTTTTAAAGTGATAGAATATGCCTTTCTTCTAAATTTGAGATGAGAAGTCTACTTCCCAGAATAATTTCTATAGTTTATCAATAAACATCAGAAGGAAAACCCATTTATTTTTAAAAATTTTAATAAAAAAATTTGAAGACTTATATAGATCACGTTTAATGTTTGGTCCCCACCTGTATGAGCTCATCAAGGCTCTCTTGAAGACTGTTCCCCAAAGTCGTATTTCTGTATAACTGATATGCCATGGCTTAAAAGGAAGCAATTAATTTTTCTTCAGGCTTGCATTGATGTCCTACAAATTTAATATAAAAGACCAACCTGTAACAATATAAATTATATATAATAGTGTACTTCATGCATTCTAACATGGAACTATTAGAACTCAATTAAAAATTACTCTATTAATTATTTTATAATATTTTATAATTTCAAAAAATTGTTCAAAGCTGACTTTTCTTATTTTAGTACTAGTATTTATCTTCTTAATTCAGTATGCTGACATATTCATTAAAATGTGCATCTTTATTTTTTCCACAGGTTACCCTTAGTTTAGAATTTTCCACATAGCACACATTCTACCTGCTGTCACTTAGTGCCGTGACATCTGCATTTGGGCCCTTTATTTTTCTGTTTTCTTAAAATTCCAATAGAGTTCCCACTAAAAGGCTGGCACTGTGATAGGAAACAGAGACAATAAGATGGATACAGATGAACTCCTGGTCCTAAAACCTCCATCTACAATGGGTAATGGACATATAAAAAGGTTCAATTTGGTGTAAAAAGAAATAACACATTGTATCATTTATGCAGCTTGTGGACTAGGTTGGCTTAGAAAAGCTTCCCACTCTTTAAAGGAGGAAAGCCACTCTAGGATGGCAGAGGAGGGTAAGAAAAGCCACAGAAGTATGAAAGTGTAAGGTCTGTGGAAATCTGTGAGTAGAGAGTAGCAGCAGGTGAGGCTGAGCGGAGGACAGGATGGGTTTGCTCCACAAGATTAACTACAGGCAACAAAAAGCCCTTGATACAACACTTCAGGTAAGAAAGGCAGAAAATCCTACTCATGGGACCTGAAAAGGGATACAGGAACAGAGACTTAACAATGCTTATTGACTTCATAGTACTTAATAGTCCAGAGATGGACAGGAGGAGACATATTCAAACAATCACTATTAGATAAGACTTGGCGAGGTTGGAGAGATGGCTCAGCGGTTAAGAGCACTGGTTGCTCTTTCAGAGGACCCAGGTTCAAATCTAAGCCAACCACATGGCAGCTCATAATTGTTTGTAACTCCAGTTCCAGGGGATCCAACACCGTCAACAGAGAAATACATGCAAGGCAGGCAAAACAGCAATGCACATAAAATAAAAGTCTTAAAAACAAAGAGCTTTCTGAATCCTTAAAAAGCTCCCCTCCAGGGAGGAGTGGTACAGATAAGACTTGGCAAAAATAGTGACCAGCCATCTTCATATTACACTTGGTCAGCAATTGACCCAACAGATCATTCTGTGACCTTGAGACATTCCTTTAGCTTTTGGGGTGACACTCTCAGTTCTTTCCTTCCAGCTCATGGAATTACTGTATTTCCTATTTTCTTTGACAATTCTTCCTCAGCTCCCTGACTCTCACCTCCTGAATTACTGGCTTTCCGAAACCCTTAGTTATTCCATCTATGTGTTAATGACTATGAAACTTGAATCTCTTGCCCTCAAACCTTTCTCTGCACTTATATGTAAAATGGTCTATTCTACACTGAAAAAAATTATCAAAGAGCTGAGACATCTCTCCCCCAGTGAAAAGTGACCTCTTGCAGAGGACCCAGGTTGAGTTCTGAGGTACCCACATCAGTCAGATCACAACTGGCTGTAACTGCAGCTCCAGGGAATCCCATGTTCTCTGCTGGCCTCCATCAACACCCACATACATTTGTGTTCTCTCTCTCAATCTCTCACACATACAAACACAGACAAAGTTTCACTCCTATCAATAACTAAGGTTGACACATATATGGTACTGTGTCTTCATCTACCAGACTAGATGCTACATGAAGACAAGGGAAATCTAGTTCAGCTATGTATATGCTATTCAGAATGTAGTATGTAGTACGTATTCAAAAAAAATATTTATTAGCCAGGCATGGTGGCACATACCTTTAATCCCAACACTTGGAGGGCAGAGGCAGGTGGAGCTTTGTAAGTGTGAGGCCAGCCTGGTCTATAAAGCAAGTCCAGGACAGCCAGTGTTATTACACAGAGAAACTCTGTCTTGAAAACCCAAATTATATATATATTCAATCAATCTACATCTCTATATATTGAAAAAACATGGTGGCATGCCAAAGCACTAATATAAAACATTAGACATATATTTATGTAGGGATACATTTTCACTTTACTGATGAAATTAAAGTAATGAAAACTAGAATCTCACAAGCACAGCCACCTATTTACCACTTCCTATAACCATACACTCTGCCTTTCTGTCCGATCTGTCACTATAGTCAACATACTTTTATCTACCTTTTCCCACCTTCTATCAGGCCCTTTTCCCTAGCATACTTAAAAATACTGTCTAACAATTCAGTTTCTTCTTCCTTCATCATCAAAATTTCACTTTCTTCTATCATTTCTATCAGCAAACAAACCTGTAGCTCCTTCTCCCACTGTGGGTAGAAAAACACCAACCACCTCTCAAATCCATTTGCCCTGCCAACTATAGTCTATTTTGTTTGGTAAGAGTTAAGTTACTTGGACTCACTGTTTCCACTCTTCGTCTAGCCCCCACAAACTCACACCAAGCTTTGGGCTGTCATGAAACAGATGCTGAGGCGGCTCTTCACTGGACTGGAGCATCTGACACAACTGACTTCTTCCGTTACAAGATCTGTTCGGTAATTCACTGTTGCGGTCGTCTTCTTAGAGTCACTGGCTCATCCTGCTGATTGACCCCTTTCTCTGCATAGCCCTGGTTTGTCTGAAACTCAGAAATCTGTCTACCTCTGCCTCATGGGTCCTGGGATTAAGGGTGTGTGCCACAACGCCTGGCCCTCCCTACTCTTTACAACCACTAGACAGTCTTTGACTGTCTACTATTTTCTTTGTACGTACATTTATGAAGTGTTAGCATTCATTCATATGGCTTTAAACATTAGCTGGTGATTCCTAAATTCATGTCCTCTTAAATATTCTCAGTTCTGGAACTAAGCTATTCAAAGTCTCTAGTTGTCCTTTGTATCTCAGTTGAAGCAACACTATACTTCTATGGGCTTTAGGCAAGCTTTTGAAACTACTTTCAAAGTCATGTAAACCACAAAGGCTCATGTAAACCAACCTCAAAATGGATCCTGAATCCAATCATTTCTCAACATCATTAAGTCATTTGGATCATCAAAAGGTGTCCCAATTTCCTTTATTCTACATTTGGGTTAGAACAAGCCTTTTTCTTTCACAGCTTTCATCAGTCTTAACAATCTGGCCACCCTTTATGTCTGGTCTTAATCCCTTTCACTCCCAACTTCCCTGAGTATGACAAGCATGTTTCTTCTGCCTTTGTGATGGCAGTGATTTCTGCCTAAAACGTTCTTGCTCAGATTATTAACTTAAAACTCATCTTAGCTCAAATAGCTCCCACGCAATTACGCCTAAACTGACCACCACCCTAAGAGCTCCCACATCCACTACGGAACTTCTTTAAACCCTGTAGCTGGCTCCAATTTTTTGATGGCACCAGCTGCCAACACATTACATAACAGTCTTATATTTATTTTCTGCATAAAATGTAAGGTTCACGAGGGCACAGATCTTTATGTTTTGTTCACTGACCTAACCTGCGGGCCAAGAACAGTACCTGACCCTCGACTGGAGGCAAACACGCATGTGTGGAGAAGGGGCAAAAAAGGTCAGGGAGATACAAACTTTAAAGCGGGCCAGGAGGGAGCTATGTCACGCTCCATCTGACACCTAAGCATTATTTGGAAAACAGCTAGGAGCGACTTCAACGCCTGCGGAAACTAGTCGCCTCGGCCATCTCCACTCTTTTAAGGTGGCGGCAGCTGCAGGACTGCGGAGTCCCCTCCTCACTGTGGAGCTGAAGCGGAAGCGCTGAAAGTAGGTGTCCGGTCTCTGAGCTAGACGCGGGTTCACCAGGCGCGGCCTGGGGAGAGCGGGAAGGCGCTGCTCCTGAGCGGCCGCGGCTGCCTGGGGGCGGCTTCCGGCGGGCACAGTGCTTGGTACTGCCCGCCCCGCCCCGGCCTCCCCGCTCCCGGCCCCGCCGCCGCCTACCTGAGGGAGGGCGCTTCCGCCGCGGCGGTAGCAAAGCCGGGAAGGGAGCCCGCCGCGACCAGCTCCTCAGCCGCGGAAACCACAGCGCAGAGCCAGTGACCCGGAAGTGCTCTCGCGACCCGGAGGTGACGCCACGAGAGATACCAGCGGCCCCTACTGCTGTTTCCGAGAAGGGGCGTGGCCTCCCCGCTCGGGCGGAAGAAGGCGCTGAGCAGCTGTCCTGCCAGCCAGTTTGTGGGACTGCCGTTTAGCGCAGCGAGGCGTTGGTGATTCATAATCCTTTTCATTTGGAAGATCTGCTGCATAAACTCCGTACCTAATACAGAATCAAACACGTGGATATTCTGAATTTCAGACTCTCAGATTCCTTTTGGTATCAGCTCGGTGCTTGGTTTTCAGAACTGCAGTTATGTGCCCAACAAATGGCCAGTGAGTACCTGAATTGTGACTATGGAGTTAATGCCAAAACCTGGGCTCTGGGAACGAAACAGGTTCTCTTTCGTGCCATGCTGTAGGTTCTCCTTTGTAGCCTTTTCAAATCATATCCTTGCATCCCAGGCTAGTTAAACTAATTTTATGCTGTGAAATACAAGTGTGATTACAGTTGAAAACACGTTAAATTTTCAAGCAAGTTGAACTCATCATCAGTCAAAAGAACTGGAAGACTACAGTGCAGGGCTGTAACGGTCTGATATTTGAGAGGCTTACCAGATAGTTCAGTATAAAACGTCAACTAAAGATGAAAACAAGGCGCAAATGTATAGTCCAGCTATTTTATTAAAATGCATTAATGTGGCAGTAATATGTGCGTCATATCAGGACGCATCACTGTGTTCATAACAAGTCAAAGGAAGAGAAAACAGAACATTTTGCAGGTCGGGGCTTCTCATTAACCAGAACCATGCCTGGATCCTACAGACACATTATCAGGCTGCATTCTCACTGAACTGGCAGTACTAGACTCAATACATAACATCTACAAACAGCAAAAAGGTCACAGTAAGTTAATTTTGTCTGTCAGCATGTGAGCTCATAATGAAAATACTTCTGAAGTATGAGTCAAAGTGCAACAGTGTCTGATGAACTCTGAATTGTGTTCTGTGTGAACAGCACCACAGAGGCTAGCCTGTGCAAGCCGGCAGTCCTGAACATCAGTATTTCCTAGCTAGGTTTCTGTAAGTAAACAATGAAACAGCTGTTAGGACATCAGCCTTGGGAAGTCTATACACAAAGGTGCAGTGGAATAGCAGAGAGTTTCCGAGTTCTCTTGTAAAACTGGATAATCAAATACACAAATGCTTCAAATTCCAACGTTTTAAACTATTGTAGGAAATCTTAGGCAGCTATCTGTAATAGCTGAGTATCATTTTTAAACTAATCTGAATGCCCTGTGTTGCTCCACCACCATTCCTAAACCCAGGGCAGGAATCTGGGTTGTCCTGGAATCTCCTAAGTAATCTAGACTGGATCCAAACTCCCAATCCTCCTGCCTTAGCCTTCAGGGTTGGAATCAAGGGCACATGCCACCATGCTTGGCTCAAAAACTATTGGTTTTTATCTGATGCTTGATTTCAAGTGTTGTATGGGAATCTCTCATTGCATTTTAAATGTGGTACCACAGGCATTACATATTATATATAATAGCAACAAACTGTCCTATTCAAACTATAGTTAACTTACTGTTCCACATATTATTTTGTTTCAGTTACCATTTAGAATTTTAAAGCTTCACTAATTGCCTTCTGCTGATCTGATTCTGAATTCATTCACTTTCAGAAGGGGAGCTGAAGGTGAAGGGCTCCTTCGATAGATCATTTTGTACTAGCTTAGAAGACTGGGCACACAATGCCCTGGCGCTCTATGAGTTCTTGGTGGTCTTAGCAATGTTCACTACACAATTCCCATTCCCTAGTACAGGATAAATTCTCACTAGAACAAGTGTTGTTACCCTGTTAAATACATGGATTTTTCTTATGCCAGCTCTCTAAAATTTGATCCATTTCTGAAATGTCTAAGGAAAACAGGGGGATGGGGAGTGGGGGAGACACACAATAAAACCAGAGCAGAATGGAGTGGCCACCTCTGTAGTCGACCATCTCTGTGTATGTGATCTAACAGTGTTAACAATTTTCTACCCTCCCCCACCTTTGGTTTTTCAAGACAGGTTTCTCTATGTAGCCATGGCTGTCCCACTCTATAGACCAGGCTGTTCTCAAATTCATGAGATCTGCTGGCCTCTGCCTCTTGAGGGTTGGGATCAAAGGTGTGTACCACCACCCAACAATTTTCTATTTATAACACAGGACAAAGAATGCCAAAGCTACTGTGACCTTTCATACAGATCTACCAATTCTATCAAGAAAGTGGCCTGCTCTACATGTATCCTAGAGCTAATTCCCAACACTTCTACATGAGATTGTTTCTTCAAATTCCCTGAGCACTCACATAAATGGCTGCAGTGACATGACCCAAGTCCTCAGGAAGAATACTGTCAAGGAGTTGGTGAGGTTAAATCATGACACTTGGCACAGAAGCCAACATTAATGTTCACCAATTGTGAAGGGTGGTATTGGCTTTCAACTTGGACACTGTAGCTGCTAGGCCACTGTTCAGACCTGTTTCTGTCTGAAGATGCAAAGGACAGGAGAACAAGATTGTCATCACAAGGGCCATCAGCAGCTTCCTTTTCAAGCCTCACCTTTTGTGATCTGTTCTCTGTAGATACAGGAAATGAAACCACCCACTGCCGTACAGAGTACTTTCCTTAGGAGGGACACTTCTGGTGGTATGTGGTTGACAGCTGAGTCTATCTGTAATGGCCCCTTTTCTTATTTTATCTCTGCTTGGCACCACACTTGCTGGCACCTCTTCCCTCCTGGAGTTAAAGGCTTCCATGTGGGGCAGAGACTTCCTGGCTTCCCTTGGTGCTTTTTCAGGAACACAATCAAGCAGAACACAGAACCACATTATTTTTCTAAAAAAACTTGACACAAAGGGGGCAACTGGAGCCAAAGTGTAACAGAGACGCTAACATAAGTTAAGCCTGTCAAGTTTATCCAAGACTCCAGCAAAATCAAAGAACTGTTTTGACTTTTCACTTTAATTAGTAATAAAACTTAAAATACGATGCAGGAAGATGCTACATTGTTACCAATTAAAAAATCAATATGGCTTCTTCTCTAGCCTACTATTTATCAATCCAGTCTTACATGTATGTTTACATTTACTGAGGGCACATCTCTATACCACATTGTACTCAAGTGCAGGTTAAAGCAGTTTTTCCCATAATTCAAGCGTTAGCACTGTTTCCCTTTTCTTCTTCAGTCAAGAGCTTGCTACGTAGCCCCGGTGAGTCTCAAACTTAAACTTCTCCTGTCTCAGACTCCCTAGTGCTTGGCATATGACATAATACTTGGCTGTCCCTTCTGAATTTTATTCTTTTTTTAAGATTTAGTTTGTGTGTGTGAGCAAGAAGTGTGTGCACATGCAGGTGCCCAGAGGCCAGAGAGTGCATCAAATCCCAGCACCATGATTACAGGCAAGCATGGGAACTAAACTTGGAAGCGCTCTACCAACCACTGAGCCAGTCCCTCTTCAACTTTAATGTTCTAACTGAATATAGGCTACTTCTATTTTTAAAAAAATTACAAATATAAATACAACTACTTCTGTAAAAAGTAAACACAAGAAAAAGCTGCAGCTATTGTCTGTATTTTGAAATTGAAGATCAAAGTACTTAATGTGGAAGAAAGCCAACAACAAAGCTGAGCCCATTCTGAGTCAGAGAGAGGTGAGGCTTAAGAAATTCTACAAGCTACTCATGATTCTTGGGTAAGTTAAGAAGGATGTCAAAGGAGCTATGTAGCCCAGGGTGACCTTAAACTTCCAGAGCTCTGTCAACCCCTGTCTCCTAAGTGTTGGGATTAAAGACACAAATCATCATAGCTGGCTCTATAGAGTTATTCTCAAGATTTCCTTCACCAACACAGTCAAATGGTTCTGGCTCAATGTACTGCAATGACAGTAGTGTAAGATCTGCCTTGAGTGTTAGATCCAGGCTGAGTGTTTGTGGAAGAATGTTTTACCCAGAGTCCTCAGGCTTGACTGTAACTAGTTTAACTTAGCAGGTCAAATTTATGCCTGAGAAGGACAAAAGCATAAATAAAAATTCCCTTTTGCAATAGAAGTTTAGGTCAAACTGACAATGGTGAAGGACTGTGTTCAGCTTGGGATGGCATAACCCACGCTTACTTCACATCTGCTTCAATTCTGTTCTGATAGGTCACTCTTGTTAACCGCTTACAGAAAGGGCTAGGTGGTGTGAAGCTGACACAGGGACGGACATACACAAGCTGATAGGCCAGGCAAGTTCAGTTTAGAATGATTTTGTAGGAAATTAAACCCTGCTTGGAGGCACAAATAATATTTATTTCAGTGTCCAGTCAAGGTCCTTAGCCACATGAAGTAAAGGCTTCCCTACAGCAAACGTCACCCTGAGAACACACCACCAGAGCTTCGCTACTCGCAGACTCGAGCCACGCACAGCACTGCCACGCCATCCAACACACGTGAACACCTATCTGCCTGGTCAAGTAACTGACGAGGGAATACGCTGGTCAAGCGCCCTGCATGAGAGCACTTCAAAAGCAGCCCCGTCAGCTCTCATCATGGCCTCTGCAACACCTCACAGCTTCACACACATGAATGCAACTCACTTCACACTAGTTTGCACATCCTGAGAGTTCTCTTTCTATCTTTCTTTTCCTCTTTTTTAAAACAGTTCTGACTTTGGGTAAAATAAAATGTCCCTTATATACATATATACAGAACTAACTACTAGCTTCTTGACATCTCTGGTTCTGGTTCTAACATATCTTTAGAGAGGCAAGTTGACCTGCCTGCACTTCAGCCACATTAAGAAGCAATGTGCTTTGAGGTGAGGAGAGGCGTGAGCCACCACTCCTGACTAGATCACATGCACGACCTTAGGTACCTCTTAGTGCCAGTTTCCACGTCCCTGCCCCAGCCTAAGTTACCCAGAAAACTATCCAACCATTTACAAAAAAACAAAGTCTTACATGGACTTTACATTTAAAGTTGTGGTCTTATTTATCTGTATATTCTTCCAAGAGATAAGGTACACACTAAAAAATATTGCCCCAACATAAAAATATATATATATTATTTCTTTCCTTTGTCATTTATGTATATAAATACTTTACTGAAGATGCATCATTCAAATAAACAAATGCAAAATTGCTTTATATAAAGTGTAGTTCTCTGCTATTTAGCAATATAAAATGATTACAATATAATTAGTCATTAAAGAGCTAAATTCAACAATTGCAAACCATGACAATGGCAAACATTCCCTTGTTACAAGAGTCCATTTGGAAAGAAGTCAAGTAAATGTAACCGATTGCATAAAAACGCGAGCCGTGAGTGTGCCACGATGCACTACAGCCCCGCTTGCCCGGCGCTCTGTCTTGTCTGGGCAGTAACTTACTGCTCACTTTTTGGTGGTTCTTGTTTTCCGTTAAGCTCTTGATCAACTCTGTTCAATGAAAAACATAGCTAATTAAAAATAATCACGACACTGGCAACTGGATGACTTCTCCCTGAAAATGACTACTTTTAGCACAGATTATTCTGTTAAAAAAAAAACAAAGCATTGCAAACAAAGCAAATACAGTAGAAAGAAAATCAAACAAACAATTCCCAAAAGAAACAGAATTTTTCTAAGCAACAGGACATTGACAACGATACAAACACTGTCACTATTTCTTTAAAGACTACAGGATACTTTATGTTCTTAGCCATAAACATCCCGAGAGCTCATGACTTATATTTCCACTACAGCAAGAAGTTCAGTGGGTAAGACTGTCGAGAGAAAATGAACTCTCAAAAATGATTGTTAATGGAAATTTAAATGTGTCACTCAGGTCATCAACTGACCAATTAACATTTTAAATCCAGAACCAACCTGTGTATTACAGAATGGCAACTATTTTCTGGAATTCACTGAATTTATTTTGATAGCAAGCCATATGGACTCAACATTCAGAAATACCTCTGTGAGTTAAAAAAAAAAGAAATCTCACTGGCTAAGTGGCGGTTTGGCCAGAGGTCCTAGCGACATTTAGGCACATGAGGATAAAAAGATAATGTGACCCCAGCACTGACTCTTCGTAGTAGTTTCAACAGCTGCTATGGGATATATAAGTCACACTGGTGCAGAGCAGAAGGTACTTTCCACACCTGTTTCCATTCCTGTGATCACCTGAATATTTGTCAATTAAAGTAGAAAGCCCTGGTTTGTTGTAAAAACATATTATGTGGGTATCAAAGATTAGATACAACCCCGTTACAGCCTACAATATATAGCCAATCTTTCAAAATATGAACTATTATTAAGAAGTTACTGTAGGCACTGCTGGAACCTGCCTGTCCACATGATACCATGTTGCAGAAAGAAAACAGATAAAACATTTAGAAGGACTATACTTCAATCCTTAGTTCCTACCAAACACTGGGAACACCACCATCTCTGGGTTCCACCTAACACACCGATGCCATATCTACCACCCCAAGTTTTGTTTTAAACATATTTCTGTATTTAGAGCTAACTGGAAAAACAAAAACAAAACCCAATCTCAAACCAACTTTTCAATACTAAAGAAAATTTTATAAGAATTAAATGCCGAATGCTGTGTAATGACTTTACTGAGGACTGAACACAAGCCAAAGGGGGAAAAACCCAAGATAATTAGTGAACATATATTAAGGAAAGGTAAGAAAGCAAAAGGATTCCAGGGAGGAACACCCAAGATGAAATAATGTGACAGGCTTCAAACAATGAAAATAAAACATCACTTTCACTTTCTTTGTGATGCCTAAATTATTTCCAACAGTTCATTAAATACTAAAACCTTTTAAAAGGATATTACCGGCACAGTTCCTCGACAGAAGCAACTTCTGTTTGTTTTGTTTTTTGACAAACTTGCTTGTTTGTTTTCTGTCTCTGGCCCCACCCACTTCCCAAAACTTTCTATGTAAACCAGGTTGGCCTCTGCCTCTCATGGGCTGGGATTAAAGAAGTTTGCCAGCCCGACACCTGGAAAGTCATTTTGAAGTCTAGGAGTTAGGTGGCTTCAAATTACTGGACAATTATTGATGATATTTTGAGTTTCATCTACTTGTCAGGCTTAGACACAGAACTACCAAGAGAGGAGGGCAGAGCCCATTACCTAAGGCACTGTTTACATCACACAGTGAGTATTGGTTAAACTCCAGAGTGCCACACACAAATAACTCTTATGTGGCTACCTGAATTCTTACCAAAAGAATCAAAGTGTTCAAAATGTTCTAACTGGTCCCACAGATGGTTAAGTAACACGTTTAAAACAAAATCTACTGACAGATGGGTAGAGAGCCACAACCTCACATTTGGACACTGAGGCAGAAGACAGAGAGAAGTCAGTCTGGGCTACGGAGGAAGACCATCTCTAAAACAAAACCAAAACCCCAAAACTAAACTATGAATAAATTAGGCCCAAGGCCTATACTTTTCTAATATATAACAGTAAACTATTTTATACTCTGCCTTTCATCTTTATACTAAGACAGTAACAAATGAAAGGTTGTTACACTCAAAGCAAAAGTGTTCAATATTAAATTCACATGGAAAGCAGAGTGTGTAACTGTTAAATGGTACACTGGATTTTAGGTATTGTACCACATGTAGAGTTTGACTGGTTAGCAGGCTATTTAATTTAAGCATATAAAGAAAATCAATGTTGGTTAGCCAAAGAACATAGGCACTGTAAATATAACTGTCGACCCAGAGGGAATAAGCTATTGCTGGAAAATGTCTGTATACCTACTTCAAATGCAGAACAGTCTTCAAAGGCCAGGGATTTTAAGCAGTGCTCCCAGTCATTTCCCTGGGTGCTGCTTCAGTATTGAGACCAGTACACAGACAGGAGGGGCTCTGAAGCCTAACGGGCATTAAGACGCTCACACTGAGCAGAAGGAAGTTGTAGTTTTCCCTGTACTGGGGGCTCTGGGTGACATTTATATTTACAAATGCTGTTCTCTGTTTGCAAGCTAACCAACCAGCAGCAGGGTTAGTCTGTGCGATGCGAATGGACTAGTCTAGATGCAACCCAGTCAAGGTGTGCATGTACCTTTTTTGTCTCTTTTTAAACTTTTCTTCTTCATACCTTGGTAGGGAAGAGTTATTTCAGTAAATGCACATTATGAGATTAAAATAAAAAAGATCGAAAGTGTAACTGTGCAGGCACATGTATGACACACTAACATTTAACATGATGTAGAGAATAAAAACTGACTTAGTCAACTTTGGTTTGGATACAGTGAAGCCTAAACGTGGAGACCAACAGAAAGAGAAACACCCTCCTGCGCTACAACACTGCGATGCCAAGTGTTTGCATCCACTGCCTCACCAAGTCGTTAAAAGGCAGGTGGGCCTGAGCTGTGAAACAGAAGTCTAGTCTCTGGAAAACTTAGCAATTCATTTCTTTAGCAATGGGAGCTCTTTCAGGAACATGATAAACTCATTCCATCTGGGAGAGTGATACGTCAAGAAGAGAAGTTACTCGCAGGCCTGGTCCTTCAGCAAGTCATCTATCAGACTGCAAACAGCACTTAACATATAGAAAGACTCATGTCCAGCAATCCCCTCTAGTAATGTAAAAATGGTACTGAATGCAGAAGGTGTGGGAGACAGTTTCTTCTTCCACTTCTTAGTTACAAACCCCTATATTCTAGAATATAGTACCAAGCCAAAGCACCCCTCTTGCAGAAACAGGAGCACAATGAAAGCAGGGTAGAAACGTACTGTTTGATGCATTCTGGTATGCCAACATACTCCATGGGAACAAGCTCTGCCAGTTCTGCCAAATTAAAGACGTATCTAATTTTCTGACTGAATTTTGAACTAGGGAAGAAAACACAAACAATTATCTGAGTACTTTTGACACATTAAACTGACATTTCAATTCAAGAAACTCTTTTTTTTTTTTCTTTAAAGGCGTCCAGAAAATTACCTGATAAATGGTCTTGTAACAGCCAGAAGTGTTCGGATAAACCAAGAGGGGTGGACAATGATTAGAGATTTTAGGTTTTTCCTTAATCTGCAGATAAAAAGAAAAATTATAGAAATTCCTACAAACTGTAGCACAAGTTATACACAAGTACATGCAAGTTTGTACAAAATCAATGAAAAAGCAGTCATCATAAACTTTTATTTAGGTGTAACACCTCTAAATACAAGAAAACACATTCTTTAGCTCTAAATATCTCTTCTATGTTGTGAAATTAACATCATTTATTTGGTCAAATTCACGTCTTAGTTGGCCTGTTTTCAAATGTCCCCTAGCATATATACTGATCCAGCAGGAAAAGAACTGACACTGAAGATAAAAGTAAACCATTCTTTCTGTTCTAGGGAGGAACTGGCATTTGTTTCTAATACCATGAAAAGCACTGACTTATAAAGACAGGGCAGACAGAACCAAAGGAGTGAGCATAGGAGTCAGAAACAACCATGCTCTTGAGACCTAAAGATCTTCACTAAAAAGTAAAAGCCTCTTTTTACGTGTTTGTGTGTGTGTATGTGTGTGTATCACAAAGGACAGCTAACATACTTGCATGTAAAAGGAAACTTATTATCAGGTCTGAGTAAGCCACTTGAATCAGCTAAGGCAAATGACTCTCAAGAGAACGCACTTCTAATGTTTGCTCTGAAAAACTCTAGCTGGGCTAGTGTCTTTAAGAAACCAGAGAGTTGGGGAGATAGCTGGTACATCAAGTGCCTATGTGTATGCATGGGACTTGGGTCCATTCCCCAAAACTCACATAAAAAAAAAGAACTCTTTTGTGTTCCAAAAGAGAACTCTCTAGACACTGGCTTATTAGCTTAGTCAGTAGGTCCAGGTCTTACAGCACTTGTCTCAAAAAAACAAAGTGGACAGACAGCACCTGAGTAAGAAGCTTAGGCTGAACCCTGGCTTCCACACAGAACTTGTGCACCTGTACTGACCCACAATACAGTAAGCAGCACAAGGACATTCTCCATCCTTTCTCAAGATGACTATTAAGGAACGTGCTTCAAATGGCCTAACAAAGAATGGAGAGCAATCTTGTGTGTTTTGAATAATTAAAGTCAGTCTTACTAAAGCAGACAGACTCAAGTTATTCTCCAAGACATTATACAATGCCATTTTTAGAAAAAACAAACAAACAAACAAACAAACAAAACATCTAGCAAGTGATAAGCACAACTGACGAAACTGGTATCTTTAAATGGCAACAGAAAGTATGTATTAATCTAAAAGAACTACTGTAAAAATCAGTCGGCCAAGTCTACATCACCGTCTATCAATCTGCTGGTAGCATCTCCTGAGCCATCCCAGACTGGGCATCTTCCTTCGAGTTGTCGCACCATTTAAGTAAATGATCATGTAGTTCTCTGCTACCAATAGCTCTAAAGTGCCAATGACATATCTATAAAAACAAATTAAGTACATGTCTTAAACATCACCATTCAGAACTGACCTTGCTCCCAAATTAACACAGTTCCCTTTCTTCTTCTTTGCTCTCAACGAGAGCAAACACCCATGATGTGACCGTTTCAAAGTCATACCAAATCTATACAGACCAAATGACACTGAGTGTGGTAAGAGAAAGGTGGGACGGGGGCATGGCACATACTGCTTGAGAGCTTCACAGTAAACAGTGAAAAATGCACCAAGCTGACAAAGAGAGTGACTATGGAGATGAAAGAAAACCTTGTCAGCTCACTACCTGGAGCCCCCAGGGACATATGTAATTCTGAGATGGTCAGTTACCTTTTTAAACAATGTGTTCCCAAATAATAAAGCTGGAACACGTAATCTAAACCAATTTTAAAATGCAATTTTTTTCTAGTGAGCTCTAATAGTTTCACAATACAAAAGGGTAAGGACCTGGGGCCTCAGAAACAGGATGACTTGTGTATTTTGTTACTGCTGTAGCCTGACCAGTGTCTGCACATGCCAGGCTGGTGCAGTCACTTAGCTGAATCCCCAGTTTATTTTGAGGCAAGGTCTCGTTAAGTTGCCCAGCTTGATTCTAACCTTGATCTGTATGTAGTCTGGACGGGCTGTCAACTTGTGATCCATCTTCCCCCAACCCCCCAAATAGCTGAGATTATTGTCCTGTACCATCAAGGCAGCTTCTTTCTAGTTTTTACAAGACTTGCATAGCCTATGAGTCTAACTAGCTCAGAACTCTGTGCAAACATCTTGTTAAGACATACTTACTTAAAGAGATTGTCCATCAGGTATCTATAGTTAGGCTGACCACTTTCAGGCATAAAACAGACAGCAAATACAACAATGGCATTTAAACCATCCCCATAATAGCCTGAAAAGAAAAAAGAAGGGGAAAATTTTTTACTTTTTACTCTGAAGGATTATAATTTTTAATTGTGTGTTTGTATAATGAGTGCAGAGCTCCCAGATTAATAAATACTGTAGGGATGACCAAGAGATGCATCTCACAAAACAAATTTTAAGTGGGAACAGTTTCATGAGAAAGAAAAGCCCATCTGGTCAGTGTGAGGACTTAAAACCATATGACGTTTAATCCAGAGTGAACTGCATTCTGACTACAAAGATGATGACACTATATGCACAGCATTCAGGAGATGTCCTATATGGTACAGTCAGATCAGCAGAGTGACAGCTTGCAGTTTCGTAGCTTCCAAGTCTGCTAAGGGAATGAACTATTCCGTGTATCCCATAAATAACATGATCAGTGCGCCACTGAGCTGGGTGAGTTGTGCATGAAGTAAGTGAAAAGCGGCAGCCAAGTCTAAGCCCCACAAAGCCCAAGGAGGCTCGTGGCAACACTGCAGCTCCCCTGGTCACATATCAAACCGCCAACAACTCACACCCAGCACTGCAGTGAATGAACAGATGCAGTTTACTTGGGCAACACACTATTTAGTGATAGAGAATAAACTAGAGACACAACTTTGATGAAGCTCAGAAGTACGCTGAATGACAAGGAGTGCACAGAAGTGTACCCTGTGAGACTAGTCACATGGACTTTCTTAACAGGCTGACTATGTGGCTACTCTGTTATGAGTAGTGGCTATTAGAGGATGAACTCACTAGAAAGGTACAGCGTTTCCTGGAGAAAGTGAAATGTTTCAAATGAGCATGGATATGTGTAATATACACGTGCATGTTTATACATAACGAGAGATATACAAGCTCTTGTTAAAACTCACCTAAGTGTAACTGCTTGCAAACGATTCATGAAACTAAGTCCCTCTGAGCAGTGAACACACAGGCTGAAACTATTATACTTCTTAAACTTACAGTAAACATATAAAAATAAATTTTAAAAATTATTTGTATGGCGCCCACCCAGGCCATAAGAAAGCATTGGATTCCATGGGACTTCGGACAGTTTCCATGGAAACTGTCTGATTCCATACAGACAGTTGTGAGCTATCATGTGGGCACTGGGGACTGAACCTGGGTTCACTGAGGAACAGCCAGTGCTCTTACTGTTGATCCATCTCTCCAGCTCCTACATAATAATTCTTAGTTGTCCTTTTATCATTTTACTTCAAACCTTTTATAATCCTAGGACTGGAGAGATAGCTCAGCAGTTAAGAACACTGGCTGTTCTTCTAGAGGACTCAGGTCTGAGTCCCAGCAGTCACATGGTCCCTCACAAGCATTTCTAACCCCAGTTAGAGGAAATCTGATGCCGTCTTCTGGCCTCCATGGAGACATGAGACACACAAGTGGTGGTGTCCAGACATACATATAGGGAAAACACACATGCACATAAAAAGTTAAAACAAAATCTTTTATATAAAGATTTTAGAAACTTTTTTATTTTTCAAAATAAGCTACCATCTCTAAAGGCATTCTCTGACAGCGTTTAGATTTTGGCCATTGTATGTAAAGATCCACACGCTCCTCCCTAGCCCTTACCTCCATGGCTAATAACTTTTTTGTAGGGTTCGATTGCCTTCATGTCCACTCTATGGTCCTGCTCTCCAATCCTGAACATGCGCCAGCGGCGCCCATCATCTTTCTCTTCTGTGGCTGTGTATTCACTAACTGAGCCTTTCCTAATGACTTCAGTAGTCTTGGGTTTGGGAAGGTCATCTGTTAAAATAAAAGGCTTTTGAATCACAAACTTATTTACACAATAAAAATCAAAATTGTATGTTAACCACTTTCCTATCTGGATTATTCCAAGTCTTTCTGTTTTCTTATTGGTGTGTTGCTGTGCTCCCCAGGTTAGCCTCACACTCATGGGCTCAGGTGATCCTGCCTCAGTCTCCCAGTATCTGGGAGTATAAGCACACACCACCATATCCAACTGTTTCCAAAAAATTTTCAGTGTACCAGCTGAAATGATCACCTTTATAATAAAAGGCTTGTTCTTACTTAAGGCCAATTTATGTCTTCAAAATAAGTTTACTAAAACTTTCTACTGCCCAATTCAACAAAGCACCAAGTTACAGTGCATCGCTTACATAGTGCTTAGGAAGGACAGCCATCAAAATCTTACTACCGTAGCCTCGCCTGCCTTTCCAGATCTCACCGAGGACAACAGGGTCCATTACTGTTACTAACACGGCATACTTCAAGTAACTATCCAGAGCCAATTGTTTTTTGGTACATACATTAATTATAAAACACTGTAGTACAAGATAGAAAGTGGTTAACTACTCAGTGATCGTTTTCCACTTGATCAGTTTTATAAAGCAGACATGAACTTCTGAAGAACACATGCAAAAATTTACGTAAATTAACACTAGCCAAAGCACCAATGATTACGCATAATTTATGTTTGCAGATTGCAGTTTAGTTGATTTAGAATGAAGTAATGATTTTCAAAACTTTAGTATGACAGTCCTTACCAAAAGATGGGGGGAGGGGAAACCTACTGCATGTTAGTTGTTTCCAAGACAAAGTTGTTAACGGAAAATATCCTTCCAGGAAATGACTACAGCAGCATTAAGGAGAGAAGAGACAAAACACACAGGCAGAAAACTATTTCAGTGTCTGTATAACATTGCTTCTTACTGGGCTGCTTAATGAACCAGTAAAACAGGAAAGAAAAGAACAAAAGCTACAGAGTGTCACTCTTTATTACCTACTGCTTTTAAGTACACTTTTGTTGCAAAATTCACTTTAAAGATGAAACGAAAAGATTATTAACATCTAAATATTACAATCAACTACTGCCTAATTCTAGAAAGCACACAAAGCAAAACATACACCAATGCCTCCGAACACCAACTAATTAGAATGGCAATGTCGGACTGGAGGCGAACAACACTCACTACTTCAAGGAGGCAGCGTTACAAGCGCAGCCATTCTCAGCACCTCCTCTGCCGACGCTTCGATATTTGTTGCTGTTATTTGAGACAGGATCTATGCAGTCCTGGCTATGCAGACCAGACTATCCTAGAACTCAGAGATCTTCCTGCTTTTGCCTCTGGAGTGCTTGGATTAAAGAGATGTGAGACTGTAGCCACACCTTAGCCCTTTAGGTGTTTTTCAGTATATTCCTTGTATGTCTTAGAGGACCTTTTACCTTGCTGGACTGACTGACATGAATATACTAGACTATTAGGCAATGCTTCTGAAGCAACTATGAAAAACCAAAACTTCATAATGTTGGGCAAGTAAGGAAAAACAAAACAAAAAAAATCAAAAGAAAGCTACCCGTATCATCTACAGTCTTGAAAACTTCAAGTATTTTCAGAATCTTCTATTTTATAACAAACTTAGAAACTGCAGAAACAATAATATATTTCAAACAAAATCCTTCAATGGATTTTAGCAGGTTTATTGTTTAAAATCTGGCCATATCCTACTTTTTCTAAAGAACAGCAGGGTAAAAACTTTGTAATATAAACATTCATTGACAAAGCTCATACAAAAACACCAAGTTACCTTCCCACTCAAACTCATCGCTGTTCTCTGATGGGGTGTCTAAGCCTTCCAGGTCAACCTCCCCGCCTTCATCCAAATCATCCGACCACATGGAGCCTTCACTAGGATCCAAAGTCAGGCTGATGTCTGGAGCCATTAGTTTCTTACGTACTTTGTTTCCATTAACTTCTAGTGAGCCTGAAATTGAAATCAAAGAAGACTGGACTACTCAGATGTTCTAGTTGAAAGAGAAACATTTTAGTCACTTTACTTTTGAGAAAAATATTAAAAGAAATTCCAAAGCATTAATTCATAAAACTTAGTAGTGATCACTACTGCCATTAAAAAAAAAAAAAAGATGTATTTTTTCATTCTATTTATTTTCATGTGTATGGATGTCTTGCCTGCAGGTATGTCATGTGTATGCAGTGTCTGAGAAGGCCAGAAGAGTTCATCAGATCCCCTGAAACCGGGGTTATAGATTATAAATGGCTGTGAGCTGCAGTGTGGATGCTGAGGATTGAAGCTGGGTTCTCTGCAGGAGCAGCAAGTGTTCTTAACTGCTAGGGCATCTCTCCAGACCTATTTTACTTTTGTTTTTATTGTTTGTTTTTTGAGACAGGGTTTCTCTGTGTAACAGCCCTGGCTATCCTGGAACTTACTTTGTAGACCAGGCTGGCCTCAAGCTCAAGAGATCTACCAGCCTCTGCTTCCCGGGATTCCTCTGCTTGCATATGTGTGTCTGTAAGTAGGTATATGCACCTGAGGACAGTGCCCACGGAGTCCAGATGACACTGGACCCAGGGAATTCTAAATACTGTGAGACATTTGAGGTGGACTTTGAGAATAGCACTGCCTCTTCTTGAAATTATTTACAACTGTATGCAGTGGTGCACCCCCATAATCCCAGCACTCAGGGAGGAGAGGCAGGCAGATCTCTTTGAGTTCAAGGACAGCCTAGTCTACAAAGCAAGTTCAAGACAGCAAAGGCTACACAGAGAAACCCTGTTGAACCACCACCCTGGCACCCAACCAAAAAAAAAAAAAAATTTACTGTTTCTTTGTCAAAAGATCAAGAATGTCCTTTTAAACAACAAAAGCAGACTGTATAGTCATTTATTGTTAAATATAGTCTCTTTTACTCCTTGTAAAAATTTCCAAAATCAAAAGCATATTTTTTTTACAAAGTTAAATTTCTCAAAGATTCCAAAAATTTGCCCTTTGGCCCCCTCTATCAGAATAAAAGCTCAGACTATTTTGTTTTTCTCTCTCTACAAAGAAATATGCTCAAAAGTAACATGAATTAAGTTCTTACCAGGCTGGCTATCCGGACCAGTTACATCTAGTATATCTGCTTCAATGCTGTCATCTTCTGGCAAAGGTCTAGAAGACAGACATGCTTTTTAACCCAGAAATTAAAAACAATTCTTGTGAAGTTCAAAGATCCATTAAAAACATCGCTCCCAGTTATTTCTTAAACTCTACAAATCAGAGAGAGAGAGAGAGAGTGTGTTTGTATGTGTGTATACTGAGGTGGTCAGAAGGCAATCTCAGATGTTCCTTAGTGGCTGCGCTCCATCTGAGACAGCATCTCTCATTGGCCTGGGACTGCCCAAACAGCCCAGGCTGGCTGACCACTGAGCCCAGGGATCAGGTCTCCATCTTCCCAGTGCCCCCCACCATGCTCGGCACACTGATCACTGTTGCGGACAGCTGATAGCCCATTCCTCTAAAAACCTAAGACCTTAGCTTAAAGCACAGCTTCCTAAAACCCTGACGCTGAAACGATTAAAACAAGTATGAAAGATACGCAGCTGCAGACTCAGTGAAAAATAACCCCATCTTCTAGTATCCAGTGATGACTTGTAACCTTCTTTTTAAAGGAACACTCATGAGCGGACATCTCAATAAAGAAATTCTGATGTTTTATTCCAAATCTGTTTAATAAAAAGTACTGCTCACATTGGAAAATCTTCATCTTGCCATTCTTCTTTCAGCTCCACACCTTCCATTCTCAGCCTGGATTCAATGTCAACTTCCAGCTCCTGGCAATCCAGGCAGCCGAGGTCCTGGGGGAGAAAGATGGAGAGTAGCTTGATTTCCACTTTGCTCTGCTATAAAGGTGCAGCAACCTCCCCTCAAACTGTTCAGTGGTCTGGTTATGAAATCTATTTACCAGGTTGAAACTTGACCCTATCTGTCACAGAATAATAAACAAGCCTCTGTCCTCTGGACCCGGATTCTAGGAACTACACTAGTAAGCTTCATGTACATGCATCCTCACCAGAGCCCAGTGCTATGCAGTGTTTACTGCTCCTCCTCACCATTCCAAAGTCACTTAAAGAGTCCACCCAGGAGCCTGTTTCAGTAAATGAATTGTACTAACTTCTGATGTGCTTCCCATTTATACCATGCCTCTTTCAAAGAGCTCAGTGCTCAAGTTAGCGATGCTTTTATACATGCAACTCTATTTTAACTGAAACACCAAAGTTTAATTTTAGTTTTTTCACAGCGACTCACCTTCTGTCTGACAGAATGAAACATTTAAGGTTCAGTATTAAGAAGTCATGAACTGGGGCTCAGTGGTCAGTTCCCAACATCCACACGATGGCTCACAACCACATGAGACTCCCACTTCAGGGGGCCTACACATCCTCTTTTGACCTTCAAGAGTATGGCATACATGTGGCACACAGATATGTTAACAAAACCCTCATACATAAAAGATGAACGTTTAAAAAGTTGCATGATCAACCTGTAAAAAGTATAACAGACAGCTGACAAATTACTGAAGCAAGAGGTACACTGTGATATAAATGAGCTCCAACTCATTTACACTAGAGCAAGTTACAGCACTAATGCACATTTCTCCCTGTATCTCTGCAACATGTTCTTGCCCTGTAGTCTTGGCTGTCTTCAAACTTGTAACCTTTGGTCCCAACCTCCCGAGTTCTGGGACTACAGGCATGGGCTGGGGTTCTTAGCTTCACAGGAGCCACAGAGCATAACTGAGACTACAAAAACAAACAAAATAAAACAAAGTAGGAGTAGTGGTAGTTCCATGTGGTTGGCAGAGAGAGGGTAGCATGCCCACAGTTCACATACTCTTCTGCACTGTTTGATTTAAAAAAAACAAACAAACAAAAAACTATGTATATATCACTTTCAAACCCAAAAACTTTCTAAGTAAACAGGAACCATTCACATTCATTTCAAATGATATTCTAAAAACAACCTCAAAGGAAATGAAATCCTTGAAGTGTTAAGTTTCATTCGGCAAACTACATTTTTTTTCCTCTGATGACTAGAGGTCTCTACCTTCCAGGTTGAGTACTTACACTTGGGGAAGTCTCAAAGGACTTACATTTTTTGTAAATCTGTTTATTGGTACCGAAGAAAGGTAAGCGGCCAACTTTCTGTCGCTGAACTACTTTCTGAGTAAACAGCCAGGACAGTCCCTGCAGTCTCACCCACCTATCTGCTGGGTGGGGGGGCAAGTACAATATTCTGGGTGTCTGTTTTAAATAACCAGGAAAAAACAATTTTCAGAAATAACAACAGAGACTGATAGTCGCAATCCATATATTAATCTCAGCACAATGCTCGGCACATTACAGGCTTCACCACCGAAGACACACCGTTTGGCAAGCCTATGCTCAACCCCAAAGCTTATTTTGCTTTCTGAACTATCGAAATACGATTCCTGTTATGAGCTTCCCTTAAAAAAATGTTACGATAATACTTTGTGCGAACATAAATACACAATATAAATTACTGTTGATAAAATTATTCTTTGATAAAAGAAATATTTCTCTTGTGAAATACCTCTTAACTGCTTTATTGCTTGAAAAATAACTCCTTCAAAATTTTGGGATGGAAGCTCAGGTTTGCAATCCCAGTGCTCTAAGGCCTACAGCAAGAGGTTTACTATGGGTTCCACACTGGCCTGGGCAACATAGCAGTCTTAAAACAAAACAAAAAAGAGCTATTTAAACACAGGCTTGTGATCCCAGCTGAATATTCAAGGCCAGCCTGAGCCTCTGAGAAAGACCCTGTCTTAGAATAAAGCAGGAAAGTGGTGCTAGGGCGGGGGCTGGCACTGGGAGACTGCCCTGGGTTCAATTTTTAGCATTACTAGCAAACATGGAAAGCCCAAGTCCTTGAGCCCTTGGAGCCAACTTCCTCAACTGAACTCTAAGAGTTCTCAGTCATGTGATGTTCATACATCTCCATACACTGCCACAGATTTTTAGTTACGGGAACAATTATCTAGGCTGGTTAAACAAAGGGACAGGCAGAAACAGAGACTAACTTCACCATTTCACCAAGAGCTTTGGGGGCAGCAGACTAGGTAGATAAAAACAAACTCAACAATTGAGTTCTGTTCTTGGAAGCACTTTATCAACCAGGCAGCTGTAGGAACAGGAAACTACAAGAAAGGAACTGAAATAAGCATAACCGATCTAGAGGGAATCCGGATGCCTGACTCACAAGGCTGCTGATTTTCCAGTTTTGCTTCTGGAACTTTAAAATGTTAGAATAGGGAAATAGAACTTTGATACACTACTTGTCAAAATAATGCACTTTCACAGAAATAATTTGACATTTCGATAGCTTAGTAGCACATCTTCGTGTCTGTGGCAGTCATAATGAAACCAACAGCTTTGACCCTAGTCAGGTTAAAAATCAAAGATGATGGGTTCCTCCTTACACAACTTCAGAGGGAAGGTGTAAATCCAACCAAGCGGGAGAGGGGAAAAGCCACAAGCAGTTTAGGAAGATGAGCAAAGTTAAGAATTAGGATCCTGTTCTGACCTACATCGGCTGTGACTGACAGCTCTCCACACTAACTTCACTATCTCGGCATGTCAACACTGCTGCTGGAACAGGTACACGTAACCGCTGTGCATGCTGAAGCCAAAACAGGGGGCGGGCCAGTACTCACATGAAAGGTTTTGCTTCACTTATTTTCATTTATTATCAGCAGCCTATATGCCATGAAGATCAACAACAAAATCCCCAGAAAAATCCTTTACACTTGCTTTTCACTGTTCCCAAAGGTTCGATCATATCCTCTTAAAATCGTCTTTTAAACACACACTGGAGCACACAAGCAGGGTGGGTGGGTTAGAGGGTTGTGCTTTGGTAGGAGAGTGGAGGTTGAAGGACAATTTGCAGGCATGGTTCTCTGTCCACTTTAATTTGAGACAGGGTCTCTCTTCTACTTTTTTCACTTGCTTCATGCTACCAGGTAGCTGTCCACAAACTTCAAGAAGATTCTCCTGTTCCTCCTCCCATCTTGCCATAGCACTGCTGGGATTACAGGTGGCTTTTAACGTAGGTTCTGGGGGTCAAACTCAGGGGTTTAGGCTTTCTAGGCAAGTGCCTTTACTGGACGAGCTAACTTCCCTATTGCTATCATGTAGGTTTTTCAAGAATAAAATGAAAGGCTTCTACAAAAATATTCACACACTCTCTCAACACACACAATTAACAAACTAGAATGGTGCTAACTTTTCTCAAAATTGTGAAAAAAAGCATACGATAAATACACATCTATAAGAAAACATTTATTAAATTAACAGTATGCAGAAGGAACTGGAGATATGTTGACGCCTTTACACAGATTAAACGCTAACACCTGATCTCTACCAGTCTGCTATAAGCTGGTTGTAATATGAAGTTAGCACTATCTATACTCTTACTGTCTTGCTTCATAGGATGTAAGCTTAACAACAGACCTGACTACTGCCAGCCAAAGCCACTCTTGGGTCCAGAGAGACATACTTGTTTGTTCTCAGACGTCCTCTCAGAACAAACAGAACCACTGTCCCAAAGCTAACCATTTTATACTCATTAATAACTAATGATTAGTCACTGCTTCAGCTGACCAACAAATGTGTGAGAAAAGAATGTGATGTTATTAGCTCTTTATCTTAGACAAGAGGCAAGAGACAGACATGCATCTTGATTCCCAGATCTACAGCAAATCTGTCTCCACAAACACTTAGGTCTGTAAAACCAGATTTGGTTATACTTAATATCACAGGTACTGTAATGCCTCAAGATATATAACTATGTTGGTTTATGGTAACTTAGTTCCTACTCCTTGCACACACACGTGTCCCACTTCCTAGTTCAACAACATCAAGCTACAACTAGAAAAGACCTGATTACTAAGAACAGCATTTAGGGGGGAAAACCCCAAAAGGGTAAGAACCAAGCAAAAAATGTGAAAGGTAATGAAACATTGGTAACTTCACTAGATAACTTCAATTCTAACTTTGAAGAAGCATCCATTCATGAATTACAGAGTTTCTACAAGTGAGGGCTAGAGGGATGGCTCAGTGGTTAAGCAGCCTTGCTGCTCTTCAGTGGACCCTATTTCAGTTCCCACTGTCCATACCTGCTGGTTCACAACAGCCTAAAATGCCAGCTCGGATGTCAACGGCAGTCGCCTATACCAAGTGACATAAACACATTAAAACAAACAAACAAACAAACAAACAAAACCCCCCTTTTCTGAGGAAAAAAATTCTACAATTACAGAAGGACTCTAATAAATCTTAAGAAAAAGTTCGTTTCATTCAAGGTGGGAATTCAAGTATTAGGAAAAAAGATCCTAATTAAAATAAAAGTGAGGCTAAAGAAAGCAATACTAAGATGCAATCGCAGATGAAAGCACCAGAACTACCTTGATAAACACTGCAAAAGCTGTGTCCTCAAAGAGTTCCCAGGACAAAGGAAGTTTCAAAGCAACGTAATACAGATCCAAGTTAAGTTTCTGTTTGAACGTGAACTGACCTAGAGAATTCTTCAGTGGCATCTGGTGCACATAGCAATCCAAAGCATCTCGGACGGTATTTAAATGAAGAGGTTAAGTGTCTGAAAACAAGCAGGCACCGGGCGCGCCCTACCCAGGGATGGCACTCAGGAAGGTGCAAGACAGCCCTGATGACTATAGGATGCTGTTTGTGTGCGTCCATCCCTCAAGGCTATGGGGTGCACTACACGCCCAAGTTTTCTTTGTTCTGCTCCCAACTGACGCCGGATAGGAACACGGAACAAACGTGGCTAGGGGAAGCCAGGAACCGGGAGGTTCCGCCCCAGGCACTCAGCCACAGACGAAAAAGGAAGGGGGCGCGAGAATGGCACCAGCGTCCGAGGCGGGGCGGGGCCCGGCAGCGCCCGGACCCGGAACGCGAAAGCGCTATCCACGGCCGTCGCCCCCGCCTGGCCTCGCGGGTCCTCCCGCTGCCCTCCGGCTGCGTCCTAGCCCGGCCCGCTATCCCGGCCGCGCTCACCCCGGAGGAAGCCGCGGCCCCCTCGTCTTCTTTGCCCCTCCAGGCCGGCGACGTGGGGCTGACGGCCAGGTCGCAGAAAGAGGCGCCGGGCAGAGCCCGCTGCCCTTGGTCGGCGGTAGAGACGGGGCCCAGCGCTCCCCGGCCCTTCGCAGCTGCAGTCCCGAGGCAGCAGCTGACCCGGATTCAATGCGCACGCCCCGGCGGAAGTGACCACCTCCGGGCCGGCGCCGGGCGCGGCTGAGGGAGGAAGCGGGGGCGGGGCTTCAGGGGCGGCTCACCTCTCTGCGCACGCGCCGCCTTTAGCAGGCTGAAGCCCTGGGTTGTTGCTTGCGGGGCAAGAGGCTCGAGCTCTGTCACTTTCTGTAGGGACGTCACCTTGCTGTCTGAAGGGGCCAGCAGTTTCTTTCTGTTTGCCCTTACGTAACATTACGTTGACTGTAATACAAAGTGAACGAAAAGGGGGTGAAAAACATCAGATGTTTTATGTGGTAGCCAGGTCCTAGAGGAGGCTACTTTGATGGAATTTTCCCTGTGTGAATCGCCTTACTTGACCATAAGTGCTTCTGGGAGTAATTAGTCTTCCCTCTTCCTCCCCAGGCTGTCTTGTGGTCGGGGTTGGCCTTGAACTCCTCCTCTGTGAACCTGAAATAACCTTGAACTGATCCTCCTGCCCCAGCCTCCGGAGTGCTGGGATTACCAACACGATTGCTACCACACTGTTTAATGGTGGCAGAGACAGCCTAGGGCTTCCTGCCTGCCAAGTAAGCAAGCCGTTCCCTCACCCTTTTGAAACAGCGGTTCGCAACCCCTTTTGCGGAGCAGAGGTCAAATGGCCCTTTCGCAGGGGTCGCCTAAGACCATCGGAAATATCAGATATTTACATTACGATTCATAACAGTAGCAAAATTACAGTTACGAAGTAGCAATGAAATAATTTTATGGTTGGGGGTCACCACAGCATGAGGAACCTGTATTAAAGGTGGCAGCGTTAGGAAGGTTTAGAACCACTGCTTTAAGACATGCTTTTCCCAATTACTTGTGGGTACTATCTTGATGACACACACACACAAAAAGTCAATAAATGTAAAATATTCCGAGCGCGGTAGCGCACACCTGTAATCCCAGCCCTTGGGAAGGCAGAAGCAGGCGGATATATGTGAGTCGAGGCCAGCCTGGTCTACAGAGCAAGTCCAGGACAGCCAAGGCTACACAGAGAAACCCTGTCTTGAAAAAACAAACAACCCACAAAATAAGCGTAAAATATTGTATTATCACAGCCAACAGCCCTAAAAATGACTTGTAAAAATGCCTCGAAAGATCTCAATTTTCTTACTTTTTCATGTGGACCATTGAATATTTTTTGAAAGGCTCTAGTATATGGGCCTTACTTTTAAGAAGCTTCAAGGGACATAGCCATCCCCCTTAGAAGCTGCACCTGTACATAGGTCTAGCAGGTAACTGTTTGGGCAATTCTAATAGTCCTGAGGGGAATGATAAAGTAAAAATAGACACCCCCCCCAAAAAAAAACCCACCCAAAACAAAACAAAACAAAAACTTTAAATTGATCCCAAATACAGCATTTTGGAGCTACCGTCCAGATTAATTTTCTGTTGGCAGAGAGATAAGCACTCTGTGACTTACCTGTAAAATAGGAGAAAAAAATTAAATGCCTGCCTCACAGGGCTTTTGGGACAAAAGAGTACATTTATTAGATGGGTGCTTGGAATATTGTTGCCATGTGTTAGGCATTAGTACTCACCCCTATCAGTTTTCTTCATTGCTGGAGGGAAAACATGACAAAACTGATCAACAAAGTAAATTTTAGTTAAGCCTCTTGGGCCACGTGAAGCATTTCCTCTTCAGTCACAAGGTTATCGTAGTTCTCATTTTTATTTCAATTCTGCAGTGTGCAGAGTTCCCCACAGGGTGGCAGGAAATCGTTTGCAATCTTGCAGAGGAGTGCGGTGTCTGTGGTATTTAGTGTCTGCCTTTTAGTAACTTTATCATAAAATGAACTTGATCCATGTTTGGTTCTGTGTAAGCTACTCTGCTTCATTTTCCTCTTATCCACATCTCACGAACTATTTATACTTATTGTTGGAACATTAAAAGGCAATCATTATGAATACAGTTATATTTATATAACTTTCAGATTTGAATATACATATTAATTGCATGTCTTTCTTAAAGTCAGATAATTTAGTTAAGTTTATGATTTACTTTGTTTAAAGTTTTTAAAATTTATTTTTTAGTTTTATTATATTTTTCATTGTAAGCCTACCCTTTAACAACTACAGTCTCAGCCCTCCTTTCCCTTTTGTTTTGGAAATATATCAGGAATTCTTTTTCATATTTACATATAAATTTCATCACATTTATTCATTCATTCACTTATCTCACAGTTTTAAAAGACAAGGTCTCATGTATCCAAGGTTAGCCTCAAACTTGCTATGAAGCTAAGCCTGGCTTTGAGCTCCTGATCTTCCTGCCTTTATTTCCCAAGTATAGGCATTGTACCCTGTGCTTAATTTTTATCCTTTATTCAGCATTTAAGTAGCTCTATTTTTTACAGTTAAAAACACTTCAAAAAGGTTAAAAAAATCAGAAACACAGGACTGCTAATTTATTTTCAAATAATACATTGGCTATATTTTCAGACAATACATTCAATATATTTTTCTTTACTTACATATAATATCTTTAAACTAATGTGTCCAAATGCTAACCTAAAGCAGTATTAAATACTATTTCAATCCAGTTATTACAAATTTTAGAGGCAATATTTCATGTATTCTTTTAAAAAATTGTTTCATGTGTATGAGTGTTTGCCTGCATGCATGTTTGTATATTGTGTATGTGCCTGGTTCTTGCAGAGGCCAGAAGAGGTTATCAGATACCCGGGAGTGGGAATTATAGATGGTTATGAGCTGCCATGTGGGTGTGAGGCACTGAATCCAGGTCTTCTTCAAGAGCAGCACGTTCTCTTAACTGCTGAGCCGTCTCTCTAGCCCCACGATCTTGGTATAGACTCGTTCTGTCTGTTTCCCCTCTCTGCCGGCTTCTCTTTCAGAGCAGCCTGAGTGGGAGGTACTACCCACTCTGCAGCGCTCAGTTTCTCGCATTGTTCTGTCCTGCTTTGTGCTTTTCTGTTCCCACCATTGCTCTTTCTCCCCCTGGGATGTGTTATTAATCTGTTCTAGAGGGCATATTGTACTCCTTTCAGTTGCTTTTGTGAGTGGTGCAAAGGGCTGGAAAGATGGTTCAGTGGAGAAGCACTCATACTCTGCTGTTGTTCCCAGCACTCCAGTCAAGGCTCACAGCTGCCTATACCTCCCACTCCAGGGCACACAGCACCCTCTTGTAGCCTTAATGGGTAAATGCATTCAAAGGCACATCCTCCCGCCCCCAACTAAAAGGAAGTGGTCTTCCCACACTGCCATCTTGGTGTGCCTGAGAATCCTGACTGATAACTCTCAGGCATCAACAGTGCTGCAAAGAGAGGCAAACACCAGGCCCTCACCAAGCCATTCTCCAAAGTCATTGTGTGGTCCCTGACTTCAGTAATGAAGCATGATTACATTGGCAAAGTTGAGGTCATGGATGACCACAGAGCTAAGAAAATCACTGTGAACCTCACAAGCAGGTTAAACAAATGTAGAGGGATCAGGCTTAGATTTGATGTGTGGCTTGAAGACCTAGGAAAATGGCAGAATGAGCTGGTCCCATTCCATAGGTTTGGCTTTATTGTCCAAACAGCCTCAGCTGGCATCATGGGCCATGAGGAAGCAAAATGAAAGCACACAGGAGGGAAAATCCCGAGGCTTGTTTTCTAAGGTTCTAAAGTATACATAAAGTGCAGCTAGAGAATAAATATTTAAAAAAAAAACAAAACAAAACATAGTTACACAGCTTTCTCTGATTTCCCTGTACATCCTGCCTTGTGTGTAGCAAAGTCAGGGTTATCCAATAGAGTAGGAAAGTTTCTAACAGACAATTATCTACAGAGTAGCCCTGGAAAGTCCTTCTGCTTACTTAGGCAAAGTTCCTTGGACCAAGGGTAATGAGGATCACACAGATGTGTGTGTCTGTGAGTGAGTTTGCTCTGGGTGTGCATGTGTGCAAATGTGTGTCTCTCTCTGTGTGTATGTATCGCTGTATGTATGTATGTATGAGAATGTATGTGTCTGAATGTGTGTCTGTGTGCATATATGCATGTGTGAGAATGTGTGTGTTGTGTGTGTGTTGGTGGCCAGTCTGAGATTTTTTTCTAGCTTTATTTTGTGTATGGGTGTTTTGCCTGCATATATGTCTGTGTACTATGTGTGTGCTTTAGAGGTCAGAAGAGAGTTTTGGATCCCCCCTGGAACTAAAGTTAAAGGTGACTGTGAGACACCCCGGGCTTCTGCATGAGCAGCAAGCACTCTTAACCACTGAGCCATCACTTCAACACCAATTAGCAATTTCTGAGATGAGGCCTCTCACTGGGACCTGGCACTCATAAATTTAGCTAGCCTAGTTGTCCAGTGGAATCCAAGGATCCTCTCACCTCTGCTTCCCCAGTGCTGGGATAGAAGTGTGTGCCAGCTGGGTGCGGTGGTAAACTCCTGTAATCCCAGTACTCTGGGAGGCAGAGGCAGGTGAACCTTTGTGAGTTTGAGGTCAACCTGATCTACAAAGTGAGTCCAGGACAGCCAAGGCTACACAGTGAAACCCTGTCTCAAAAAAAAGGTGTCTACCACCACACCTATCTGTTTACATTGTGCTGGGAATCAAACTCAGGTCCACGTAGGTGGCACAGCAGACATTTTACCAATAGAGCTATCATCTCTCAGAAATGAATATTGTTTATTTGTGTTTCTGATTCTCACACAGGCAATTTTTTTTTTTCAAATTTTCAAAAGCCTTTCTTTTCTCCTGGGCAGACAGAGCCTTGCTCCAGAGCTCGCAGCTGGGAGAATGGAGTGCTGCCTTTCTAAGTGCGGTATGTTGGACATAGCCTGTTCACCTGTAGAGACTGGTTCTCATGCCCCACCAAGATCTTAGATGTGATTGCAATCCCTGTGTTTCTAATATAAAGAATACCTTATTTTAACAACAAAGCACCTCTAGAGGACAGGCTCCGACATGCAAACAGTGTCTAGGTGCATTCATAGATGCGATTCAGTGTCACTCCGAGATCTGCTCTTCAGACCTG